ACGTACGTTTTTCTAACCTAGGTTATTACTCTAAGCTCTAACTTATCTTCTTGTATTTCCTATAGAATTAGCCTTAGTTCTAGTTACTAGTGCAACGCTTTCCTCTACTATTGCTGCTATAGTGTTTCTACCTGCTTAGCTACCTTAGCTACCTTAGCTAGTTCTAGCTAGTTATATTATAGTGTACTATTAAGCATTCTTTTAAATATAGCGTTATATAGTTCTTTATAGTTTTCTTCTTATAAGTTAGACCTTCTACTTAGAGCGTCTACTACTCTGTTAAGTGTTCTAGCGCGATAGGTTATCTTAAAGTTAAACTAAGCTAATATCTTAGCGTATTAGACTTAACGTTAGTTAAGTTTCTTAGTTATTATAAAGCTTGCTAAGTTCTAGTAATTAGTAAAAACCTTAATTATATATAGTAGCTCTAACAAATAGACTTCCTACTATTTAAAGGCAGCTACTATTATAAACGTTGTAGTTAAGTTCTACTCTAGAGAACTTTCTTAAATAGTAGAATACTAGTCTCTATTTCTAATCTAGGCACTACTATAATAATATTGCTCTAAGTATATAGTCTAACGCGTTAGTCTTAACTTGCGTTTCTTATCTAGAGTTGTATATCTCTAGTACAGGTGCTTTAAGAAAGATCTGCTTAATTTAATTAAATACTTTTTAATATTTCTTATTCTATTTAAACTCTATTTTCTTCTTTGTAATCTCTAAGAGAGGTGCTATAATCTTTAAGTAATCCTTAATAAACTTCTAGTAGTAATTAGCAAATTCTAGAAAGGATTACATATCTTTAACTATTTTAGGTTATAGCTACTTCTATATAGCTATAATTTTCTTTAGGTTTATCTTAACTCCCTCTATAGATATAATAAAGCCTAGGAATTCTGTCTCTTTAATATGGAATTTATACTTCCCTAGCTACAGGTATAGCTTATATTTCTTAAGCTTTCTAAGCACTTTCTTAACATATTCTATATATTCTTTAAGTAATCTGCTAGAGTACACTAGTATATTATTTAGGTACGCTATAATAAAGATCCTAAGGTACTTATAGAGAGCGTTATCAATAACTAATTAAAAGGTTGCTAGCGCGTTTGTTAACCTAAATAGTATAACTATATACTTAAACAGTCTATATTTTGTTTTAAACGCTGTTATCTACTTATAACCTTCTTTAATTCTAATTTAGTAAAATTCTTCCTAAACATTAAATTTTGTAAACTACTTAGCTCCTTAGAGTTAATCTATAAGCTCTATAATAAGTAGTAAGAGATATTAGTACTTCTGCGTAACGCTATTTAACCTTTAGAAGTTAATATATAGTTGCTATTTCTTGTTAGGTTTCTTTACAAACAAGATAAGTAAGGCTATTAGGCCTAATTCTAGTTAGATAAATCCCTTCTTTAGATTCTTCTAGATGTAGTCCCTTAGCTTAGCATTATGCTTAGGCGCTATTAGGTATATTAGTCCTAGGCTTAGCTTAGCTTCTTTATCTAGAATAATCTTGTAATTCTACTTCTAATAGTCTACTAGATTAGTAGCCTTGTTTTTCTTAAAAAGTTTCTTAAACTTGTTAGTTTAATACTCTTACAGTATCTCTAGCAGTAGAGGTCCTTTCTTTGTAGTTGTAACTCTCCTTATCTAAATAACTCCTATTTTCTAGGGGTCTTTTGCATAGATTCTCGCAATCTTATATAGTAAGATGCTGCTAAATCTCCTATTCTAGAGTAAGCTCTAATTTGTCGGGCGCTTCTTATGTTGTACTCTAGCAACCTTGCACGTAGGTTCTTAGCTAAGTATAGTCTTATTTCGCTAGTTAATAGCGGGGTTATAGGCATCTAGCTAATTATACCCTACTAGCATATCTAGTCCTCTTAGATCTAGAATGTTAATGTCTATTTAGCAATCTATGCTAGCTATCTGTAGCTTAGTAGACTTAGTTTCTATTTATATTATACTGCTTCTATATTTTATAGGCTTCTTATTAGCTAATATAATTAGAATTAGTTTACTCTTAATCTAGTATAGTATTCTATACTTCTCTACTACTTGTAGAGAGATTATTATTTGTGCAGCTCTACTATCTATAAGCGCCTGTATATCTTAACCTTATATAGATATAGTTGTAAGTAACTACTTTACTTAACTATTAATATCCTGTACCTTTCTTAGGGTTATTTTAGGTATGCCCTTGCTAGTGTAACCTTATTTTTAGCGGCATCTTAGTTTTTTACCTACTTACCTTTTCTTTTCCTAGAAAAGTAGCCTGTGTTAGTTTTAGAACTATAATAAATTGTATATCTATTATTATAACAAAAGCTCTAATAAAGGTTCTAATAAGGTATCTTCTCTTTAGTAATTCTCTTCTTTAGTTTAGCCTTCTTAGCCTTGTAGATAGAGTAGTCTGCTACTTCGCAGATATTTAATAACAAGGTAATATAGTAGTAGTTGTCTACTTGTTGTGCTTTCTTAAGTTAGTTATAGTAGAAGAAATATCTATTCTTATACTATAGCTATAGGAGTCTCTTATAGATCTCTATTTTCTTAGGCTTATAGAGGTAGTAGTTATCTACTAGACACTTGTCTGCCTATAGGTTTAGGTAATAGTACCTTTCCTAGTTCTTTCTACAGTTCTCTTTATCTTTCTTATAGAACTTGCATTCTATTTTATAGTTGTACTAGCACAATCCTTAGTATTCTCTAGTGTCCCTTTTTTTAGGTCTTTTAAGGTTAGAGATCTCTGTCTCTAGGTTCTTAAAGTATAGTTATTAGTATATCGCCTAATACCTAACTTCTTTAGCGTCTAGGCTAGTTATTACAATTTAGTCCTGCTTCGCATAGTTATTAGCGTAATGTGCAGTATCTCTGCATACCTAACACTAGTTCTTTGCTAGTTGTTCTAGTATAACTCTGTTCTTAACTTTCTAGTTAGTTTCCTTAGGTTTCTCTATTATAAGAATATTATTAGCTTACTTTAGTTACTAAATAACCTTATAGTCTTTCTCTATGCAGGCTTTCTTATAGAGGTCTATATTGCTAAAGTTATTATCTAGTTCTATCTAAGCTAGGTAGAGCGTACTCTATCTAATTATTCTAATCTTAATAGCTGCTTGCTTACTTGCTTTACCTATAGGGTAGTCTTAGGCAAAGTATCTAACTTTACTATATTAGAGACATACCTTCTTATTATAACACTTCTAGCGTTCTTTCTTAGAGAGACTATCTTGTCTTTTTTCTTAGAGTTTTCTGTCTTTAGCTTTCTCTTATACTTTACTAGTTATAATAGCATTGCTATCTCTATTATATCTCTTACGCTGTCTCTTTATGTTAGCTATATTAGAGTAGAAGTACTTTTTCTAATTATTTTGCTTCTATAGCCTATTATTAATACGTGTAGTAAGCTTAATTAACGCGTATAGTGTTCTAGGCTTATTATAGTGTATAAGGCTATTCTTAATATTTTTCTTAAGGCCTGCTTTAAAGACTATTTAAAGTGCTGCATTATTCTAATTAATTCTAGCCTATAATTACTTAAATTCTGCTGTGTAGGCTAATATAGACTTAGTTTACCTTAGTTAAGTAATCTATTTCTTAGCCTAATTCTTTGCGTCTACTTCTCTAAAGATGCGTCTTATCTTTTATTTAAATTCTGTCTAACTCGCAAACATAGTTTAAGTTTCTTTCTTAGTTTTATGTTGCGTAATATCTATAAGGTAGTTATCTACGTATAGCTATATCTAGTTAGAAGCTTTTTCTTTTAGGTACGTGCTTACTATAAGAATCTTTTTCTAGTTATTAGGTACTTTATTAAATTCGTAGTATAAGTTAATGTTAGTAAGAAACGTTTATAGTTCTTCTTAACTTCTGTTATACTTTTTAGGTAACGCTATCTTAGATTTCTTTATAGTAGATAATTATTTATTAGAGTTAGCTATTAGCTAACTTATAAGCTAATTAATTATGTTCTGCATCTTAAGCATCTACTAAGACTAAACTTAGGCCTGTTGCCTAAGGTGTCTAAGCTCTGTAGCACTAGAAGTATTTTCTGCCTCTAAGTTAGAAGTATCTAGTATCTTATTATTTGCTAGTGCTAGTGCTAAGAGTTCTAGACTCTAGGCCGCGTTGTTCTAAGTAACTCTTAGAGCTAACATCTTTCTTAATTAGGCAACCTAGTTGTTATTTACGTCTACTTAAATCTAAGAGTAGTTAAAGTGTTACATAGAGTTAGGCTATACTTCTCTAGTCTTAGTTTATACTAAGGCGAGGTAGACTTAAAGCAGTAGTCTATAAGGTCTGTCTAGCAATTTAGTAGAAAAGAGTTATTATAGAATAACTATAGGTAAAAACAATCTAATTCTATAAATAATAGAATAACTAGTTAATAATCTATGTAAGAGATAAACTATTTAAGTTAACTATAATAAGTGTAATAATAAAATCTAATACATTCTTATACCTATTACCTTAGGTCCTGCTATCCTATCTATCCTATCTTTATAGGATGTCTGTAATAGCAGTACTATTCTTTTATATACTGCTATCCCTAATAGTTAGCCTTAGCGGGATAGTACATTACGTGACCTCTAGCCCTGCGATAATTATTGCCTTCTGTCGGAGGTCCTGGTTGGTCTTCAACCCTCCACCTCTAACAAGGAGAGAATCCTTCTCTGTTACTTATAACAGTATTATAATAAAAGTATAGTTTTTGTAGAGTCTTAGCAAAAGTAGTCTATATACTTAGGTAGTCTACATGCTTGTAAAGTACGTTACATCTACATTAGTTATAGTTTTACTTAAGTCTTGGCAAAAGTGCGTTACTCGCATGTCTGCGTTATTTGCTATGCACCTGGAATATTTTACTTAATAGAGTGAATTTGTAGAACTAGAGAGCTAAGTAAAAACAAAGAATAACAATTAAAAAGAGAGGTAGACAAGCGACCGACAAGGTAATTCTGTAGGTGCAGTGCATACAGACTGCTGCTGGCGTGAGTGCCATGGGTGACGTTCGTTCGGTGTCGATCCAGACCAGACGCTAATTGCAGAAGCTAAGTAGCCTGGAACCCCACTCCGCTGGTTCTCATCTATGTTCCTGCATATCGCGATTCCTACATTGAAGCGATACGATCATGTCGAAGAAGGTAAGCTGCAGATAGCAAATATACTGTCGCTGAGATGCACACTAAGCCATACGCAGGGAAATGACACCCCTTCTTCCATTCGTATTCGGGAGAATCAGCGGCGCTCGCGTAATCAGCGCAAAGAGCTCATCCAGGACTTGCAGCGACGCGTGCAGGAATATGAAGCCAAAGGCATCGCCGCTACCCAAGAAATGCAACGCGCAGCTCGCAAGGTTGCAGAGGAAAATGCACGCCTGAAGAGCTTGCTAGCAAGCCGTGGTGTATCGCACGAGGAAGTGGATGCGTATCTACGATCCTTCGACGCGGCGAGCGCTCCAAGCCCCTCCGCTGCCGCGCTGTTTGCTCAACCAGCGATGCGACCTCAGGCCTCACTCACTCCCGCGCAAAGCTCTGTCGGATACGCGAAGTATCCTGTCTCTCAGGCTGTTGCACGATCTCCGGCGAGAATTACTGAGCCAGCCCCTGCACAGACCACATTCCAGCATCGGCCGCACCCACCGACTCAACATCATGCACACTCTTTTACAGACACACATCCCGTTCGTCAGTTAGTGGTAGGAGCCATTCAAGACACAGCACGTGAGCCTGAAAGAGCAAATGACACGGACGAATCGCCGTCTACTGCTTCATATGAGCCTAATGCGATGGTACACCAGGAGAAGTCATCTTGCTGTAAACCACTCGAGGCACAGAGACCGGTCGATTCTCGGAACACAGAAAGCTCAGTGACCGATCAAAGCGTGGCCTTGTCCCGCAGCATCGCAGAAGACGATGATTGTCCTAACACTACAAGTTGTTTTTGTCCACCTACTTCTGCGCCTCAAGGGAAGTCGCTCGACAATGGTTTGCTGATATCATGCGAGACCGCTGCCACCATCATATCAGAGATGCGTGGCGACGGTGATAGACATCGGATACGGGCGAGTCTGGGTTGTCAGGGAGACCAGGAATGTAGTGTCAAAAATACGCTTGTTCTGGAGCTTATGGATGAGAGGTAGCTTAAACGATACAAAATCCGTAGTCTTGGTTCTTATCTTGTTCAACGTCTACTGGCATGCACAAGCAACTTCTTTTGAGGCTGACAAATGACGTCACACCGCTTGGCAGCCCGTCTCAACTCCGCTACCCCGTAATCGTTCAACACTTGCAGTCTTGACAACCTCCACTTACTAAGGCTCCAGGCAATGGCGTACAGGAAAGCCGATGCGAATGTGCTTCACTCTCGTTCCATCCCGTGATTTGATGCTGACAGCCTCCCAAGTCTACAAACGCCGAGCGGGTGCGCAATAATCAGCGTCGCAGTCGTGCCCGGCGCAAAGCATACATTGCCGAACTTGAAGCGAAGCTCCGCGAATGTGAAATCGGACGTGGCCAAGACCTTACGACAGCAGAGCTCGCGAAAGCTTCCCAGGAGATCCAATCGCTCAAAAGAATGTTGTATTCGTTAGGGCTTGATGAAGCATTTCTCGAGGCTTTCTCAAGAGCTCAGCGTCTCGCAACACACTTCTCACGCAACCCAGAGAGCATCACACGCATTAGCAGTACGCCTGAAGCATCTTCTCAGCATACAAAAGCTTTTTCGATGAGCGAGGTAGGCTCGCACATCGCCAATGTCATCATAATCTGACGAGGCTAGTTTGACCCAAGCTCCACTCTACCTTCCCAAAAGCAAGCACATGTGTTTTCTTCGCCATGCGGCACGGAGATGGACATGCAGGATGCGAGAATGCAACTGAACTTAGTAGATTTGTATGCGATGGATGCGTCGTCCCCCTGGGCATCGCATGGTATGCCTGCTGCCATGACTCCTCTATCATACATCAATGGAGGTCCTAGTCTGCTGAGCCCACCTCAGGTAATCGCGACCGGTTTCTCGACAGTATCGAACGGACTATCAGCGCAACTTTCAGGTTCGACCACGCTTTGTACAACCGCTTTTTCCCTCGTACTTGCACAGAATCCCAACGGCTACAGTTCAGAATATCTGGACAAGAAGCTAAGAGCTGGCTACCGACTCAGCACGACTCCGTTGGAAGGTTGTCGCGTTCAGAACCATGTCTTGTTGGAGGTTCTTGCAGAGATTGCATGAGTCTTCATATAAGTAAACATGCTATCGGCCAAGGGCATTCTCGCGACGTTTCACCCTCCGTAGCTGAAATATGAATCCGCTAGCCACCACGTATGAAAGACCTGCAAAGACTTGAGTATACAGATACTCACGTGAAGACGAAGGCCGTCTGAGCTTCAATGCGATTCCTTCGGAAACTGCTTCAATCAGTTAAGGCGCCTCTCCACGTTGACAACAGTAGGTTTACCTATTGCTGGAACAATGACTGCCGCCCAAGATAGGGAGAGCAACGACTGCAGGTTCTTGATTCCCGCGACTTCGACGCAGAGTGGGCCGATTGTCTACGTAAATCTTTTGTCAGAGCAGTCGCCTGGAATGATTATCGGTTGCGAATTCACATACCATCCAAAATACACCAACAATCGCGCCGCAGAGAATTGCAAAGAACACCATTAGTGCATAGGATGTGGCAGGTAGCCAGAACGCAAAGCAGGAAATACCGCACATCAAGGTCAACGCCCCTGCTGTATCTATCCTACTCCAACGATCACTAAGTATACCGATGATTGGACGCCCAACGGCAGTTCCGACATTCAAAAGCCCGATGATATCGGTAGCTTGGGATCGCGAAAGCCCTATCGATAGCGCAAAATCGGAGAGTGAGAAGAGTAGGACGATGTATCCCAACATGCTGATGAAGACCCATGCAAGTAGCAGTACCACGTCGTACCGTCGTAGGAGCTTGGTATCAAAGCCTAGTTGAGATGGCCGAATGGCCTTGTTTCTGTCGCGTATGAAGACCGTCGCGGTGAGATTGGCCACGAAGGCGATGATGCCCGTGATTCGCAACGCCCAACTGATGCTGAATCTTTGAATAATCGCCTCGGTACCCCAAGTGAAGGCTGCACCGCCGACCCCAGACCCTGCTGCGCTGATACCGTTGGCCAGGCTTCGTTTCCGATCAAACCATTGAGATAGAACAGGAAGACACGGGATGTATAAAAAGCCAATTCCGGAACCGATCACAACGCCTTGCGAGAGGTGGAGCTGCCAGATTCGAGTTGCGAATGAGGCAGCGACGAAGCCGCCAAGCTGCAAGACCAGGCCGCAGCACATGACAACATGGGTTCCGAATCTACGACAGAAGACTGTCACGAAAGGTGCCACGAGCATAGCAATGGCAAAGTTGAAGCCGCCGATGAACGCATAGTCCCAGGTAGAGGCTTCGGGGAAGATGTTGTCGGCTAGGTAGTGCGATAGATAGATGCCATAGGCCTGAAGGTTGTCAACATGATGCAAAGTGGAGAGAAAGTGTCTTCTGGATAAGCGACCGTGACTTACTGATACGGTACCCCATGTGAAGCAATTTATTGTAAAGCATGCTGCTACACAGACCCAGCCGTAGCCGCCATTTGGGGGAGTGTGCTCTTCAGTGGTAATGTGCTCTTCTTCGATTATCTCATCGAGCGTCAGTGGAGGTGACAACTCGCTATGCAGTCGGGGATCGGTGTCTTGTTTCATCATCTTTGCGAAATGCGATCGGGCTCATGATTCTCTTGCCTCTGCTGACGCCACTAAATATGCGCGTAGGAGATATGTCACTTGTTTTTGCGGGGTGTCACTACTCACGGATGATCGACAACACTAGTCCAGAACTGGTCGGTAGCCGCAAGTAAATACTCTCACCAGTCACGCTCCCCTTCGCCTTTGTATGCTATACTCTAGGACGTTGGAAAAATGTTGTTTGCCTATAAACGCGGGATTGTATCAATTTGACGGCCCAACTTCGGTTGACAAAGCCGCATGCTGGGTGTCTGGGGCTGGCTTGTTCGCTTCCTTTGCTTTCTTCGCCCGCTTCTCCTCCCTCTCACTGAATCTGTCGCCGAAGAAATCGAAATGGGGACGCATGACAATCGTGTATTTGACAAACTCCTCCATGCAGTCAACAAGTCGGTCCCTGTTCCCGCTGGGCATCAGCCTACTGCCGGCGTCCTCCTCCGTGAACTGCTTATATGCCATGGGTATGGAGCTTTGGTTCGGTATGACGAACATGCGCATCCATCGACCAAGTATTCGCAGGGCGTTGACCGTATTGAACGACTGCGATCCACCGTTCACTTGTGCGATTGCGAGGGTACGGCCCTGAGTCGGACGCACAGAGCCAGTGGACAGCGGTATCCAGTCGATCTGGTTCTTGAAAACGGCCGTCTGAAAGAAGGTCTCATTAGTGTGAGATTCAACAAGCATGAGAGTGTCTGCTTACGAGAGTCCCATGTTGCTCAGGGCATATCCATATGTGCCCATCGCTCCATTTGCTCAGTTCGCGCAACTCCTGAACTTTCGGATGTGTGTGCTGTACATCGTCCTTAACAGGTAGACCAGTAGGGTCATACATGCGAACGTCGCAGCCAAGGCGGAAAAGTATTCGGCTCGCCTCGTACGACAGCAAGCGCGAGTAAGATCTGCCTGAAGTCAATGTATGCTATTTAACGTACCCATGGGCACACCCGGCCGAAAGTGATCTGTACCTTGATCGCATGCTTCCGTGCAAGACCACCACCCTAAGCCTGTCGTCTCCACGCTGGAGCAACTGTGTATCGACCATCTTCAGTGCAGTGCTGAGTTCTAGTTGAGCCACCCAATCGTCCTCAGTATCTTTCCCCTCAAGTATGAATGGCCGGTAAGCCTTTCGAATTTCAGCGTCATCTTCAGAGGGAGGTATCGCCAACGAACGACGTCGATACTCAGGATCAATGGCGAGTTCAGCTCTTGCACGTTCAGCCGAGGTATTGTTTAGATCTCCGTTCGGTATCGCCGCCATTGTACGTGCGAATTGAATGGAGGAGCGCAGAGGCCTGGAGGTGATGGTGCTGCGAACACCGATACTGAGGACTGAGCGGTAGATTTTCATGGGCTAGTGCATGGGGATGCGTACGATGTTCGTGGAAGTGTCAAAGAGAAATCGCGTTGAACTGCTAGCAAACTGGCATTGTCTTCCTGGGAAGATGACTTCGGAATGCTGGTTGTAGACGCACAGGCAGCGGCGACGCGAGAGTGCCTGGGAAAACACGTCATGGTTGACAAGCATGTCACTCCACACCTCCGATTCGTCAAGATTTCGCAGACCCTGCGTCCTAACCCCGGAGCCTCACTTGGAATGCGATGGCTTTCCAATACTGTCCTAACTCCGTAGCCAGGCCTGAGACGAGTACCTTAGCCAAGCCAAGGGTCAGGTACGCTCTGCCTGCTGCCATCAGTGTCCCTGCTCTCCACTTAGTCGTCAAGAGTCGTGGTACGGGAGGTACTCGGTGTCAGTGGATGCGAGTTGTGAGGCATGGCATGCAGGTTGTGATGACCTTGAAGACTGGGAACATACAACACGAGGCATCTGGTATTGTTGTGCTTGCACTTGGTGGGGAGTGCTGTGGTGGGGATAACGGTCGGACACGTGGAGGGGTAGCAAAAATGCTTGGCGACGTTTTCCCTACCGGACCCCTGTCGTCATGTTGAAAGTCGTGACTGGGTGCCTCACCAATACACCAGCAAGATGGAGTACGACACCTTCTCAGCACGTGAGTAAACGCGACAGAATAACGGCCAATTGGTTACTAACCAGCAGCAGCGCAGTACAGTACCAACGACGCGACCTCGTTTGCCCACACTTCGGCGCGCTCGCGTTGGCCCATCATCATCACTCAAGGCATTGACGACGTGCACCGCTCCCTGCACGACACCAAAGATGAGACGGCCATCACAGAAGGCAAACAGGTTGTTGCAGAGCTCGCCAAGCTGAAGTACGAGCTCCAGCACGACCGTGAGCTCACTCCCATTGCCGATGATGGCGAGCGCGACGTCGAGGCATACAACAAGGAACTGGCAGCAAGAGGCAACCCCAAGTGGCACAATGTGTCTTGGCTTTACGCAGAGTGCTATCTGTACAGGTATGTAGCCCTGAGTCGCTCAACGGCGCGTGCTAATGGCTATAGGCAGACGCATCGCAGGCATCTTTAAGCAGACCACCAAATGGCGCTCGTACGACATTTTCGCTCGCCAAAAGATGGAAACCTTCAAATCCTCTCGCCCGGCCGTCATCGAACTTGCCGCGCGCTACAAAGACATTGTCACCGAGCTCGAGCAGAAGAAGACAATCAAGGGTGCAGAGTCGCAGGAGCAGCGCGAGGCCGCAGAGAAGGTCCTGTTCACCGAGATGTGCGAGATCTGTCTCTGGGGCAATGCAACGGATCTGTCCTTGTTGACCAACCTGTCATACGAGGATATCCAGAAACTGCAGGGCTCTGAGGCGCGTAAGAACTCCGAGAAGAACATCCTGGTCAACGACCTAGACAAGGCTTTTCAGGTGCTCACGTCGGCCCAGAAAGAGGGCAAGAAGGAACGTCGCGTCGACATCGTGCTTGACAATGCTGGCTTCGAGCTCTTTGTCGATCTCATACTCGCCGGTTATCTCATCGCTTCGGGCCTTGCGACAAACGTGGTGTTCCACCCCAAGAACATTCCATGGTTTGTGTCAGACGTTCTGCCAGCTGATTTCGGTGCACTCCTCATGGCACTAGCCGACCCACAGAGCTTCTACAGCGCGCTATCGGAAGACGAGAAGCACGCTGGTAAGAAGTCCATACCGCTGTCTGAGACAGAGAGCGCGAACTTGCAATTCCTGTTCCAGCATTGGAGTGGTCTCCACGCAGAAGGCCAATTGATGATGCGACCAAACGACTTCTGGACCGCAGGCGGCAGCTACTGGCGACTTCCCAAGAGCGAACCGGACTTGTACGAGGATCTCAAGGAGAGCGAACTGGTCATCTTCAAGGGCGATCTCAACTATCGCAAGTTGACTGCTGATGTAAGTGCCCACTTCTGCATTTATTCATCACCTTACTAACCTGTACCAGGCTGCTTGGGCTCCTACTACACCCTTCACCGAAGCTATTGGACCAATGGGCCCTGGCTCAGGTCTACGTGTCCTTGCGCTCCGCACGTGCAAAGCCGACGTCGTTGTCGGATTAAAGGACGGCGAAGACGAGCGCATCAAAGCATTGGAGGGTGGCGGCGGCGACAGTGGAGCGAGAAAATGGGCTTGGAGTGGTAAGTGGGCTGTTGTCCAATTTTCGGACGGAAAGGCCTAGTCGACCAAGAACATCTGACGTTATGCACCTGTTTGAGTATGGATAGACTATAAACATTAAACTTGGACCCGACAGAAGAGAACTAGCTACATAACGTGATTGAGCACCGGGCTCTCTTTACCCCACGCCACATAGAAGCTCTCAGTAAACACCTCTCCTGATATCTGCGGCGATCTGTTGGAGCTCCTCAACAGTTGGTGGCTGCTTGTTGCCTTTCAACAGTTTGATCTTAGACAGACTCTCCATTTCCTTGATCTTCCTTGCGACCTTGCCGTTTTTGGGAGGTCGCGTTCCCGGGACACCTCGTTGATGAGGATGTCCCTCTAAGCTAGGTCTGTCGCTGGTCGTGTGTCGGGCGGTTCGTACCTCTGCTCTTCGAAGTACATCTGCACGCACAGCAGGCTGCTCGTAGGTCAGTTTGGTCTTGTCACGAGGTTGTACAACTTTTGCCGTTGAACGTCCCAGAGCCCTTAGATCTGTTGCAAGTCAGCGTTAGATCGGGCTTGACAAAGTAGATCTTGACATACCATGCAGGAGCTTATGACCGTCTGGCTCACTTCCTCGCCATTTTCCGTTGTCACGCTTGGCCCACAGCCTCCTCATTGCGTCAAGCTCGAGATGATACTCCAGAGCTCCGGACACCGGAATGCTACTGCATATTGCTACCATGTCTAGAGTTTGGCTGTGCACTTCGGCGTCCGCACAAGATTTCACGAGTACGACCTCTAGTATGCTTAGAGGTTCTCTCGGCTGGGGTGGAGGGGAGTCTCCGCGGCATACGAATTCCAATGAGTCGGGACGCTTTGCAGATCGGAAGCTGAGCTTGCGACGGAGGATCTTTGGACCCGCTGGACTTGCGGAGCGACTTCGTTCTGTTGGCTGAGTGTGGGTCTTGTCCTGACCGGTAATGAAGGTGGTGACGGTGCGTAGCGAATCGATCACAATGGAAGTCTCTTCTTGTGCATCCTTCTTTCTCTTAGTTGCGCTTCGCACAACTGTGGCTTCGGCATTAGGGACTGGGAGCTGGACACGGATGTTCGAAGCACGGGCAAGTGCTGATCTGACCATGTGAGGTGGCGTACTGCTCGTCCAGCACCCCCAATACTTGCCGATATCCTTCTCGCCGCTGGCATTGGCTCCACCAATGTCAGATAGGTCGACGAGAAATAGACTGTCGCGGTAGAGGATGTCTAGTCCCAGCTCGCGCGCCTGCTTACATACCATCAATGCCGGATGCATCATAAAAGATCGAATGTCGATGGTGTTCGGGCCATGGCGGTGCCGGCGTCGTGGCTGGGGTGTGATACGCGACTGGTATGGTGTGATGGAGACCGCGCGTTCTTCAGCGAAAACGTATGACAATACGTGATTGACGATTGCCAGGGGCAGTTGAAGAAAGGAACGCGTTGATTCTAGCGAACCGTTGGCAGCTTTTGTCGTAGGCGTTGTGCTATTCAACGTGCTGGCAGAAGTGACGTTGGCGGCAAAAGACGCTTTAGAGGATCCTGCTGTCAAGTTGGACGAAGATGAAGATCGATCCGACTCGCCGACGAGTGATTCTTCAAGCATTATCATACACTCTATGGTATGCGCATCCCACTTGTCGTCAAGAGTCTGCGACGCCGCTGAGGTAGGTGTTGGCTCTTTTGCCATGTCGCGTCGAGGCTTTGCGTTCACATTGCAATAGCGCGATGATCCAGCCTTTGGTAGTGGTAGAGGCTTGTTTTGACCGGGGAACAAGTCTTGCATGTACTTTTTGGTCGTGGCATATGCCTTGGGGTCGAGTGCGTAATTCGCAAAGTCAACACTGAATCGAGGGTCTGGAAGCTGAAGTGCAAGTATCGAGCGGGGCGTGACCTGCGCCATGGTGTAGAAAATTTCCTTGTTGATGGTAATGATATGCTGTGAGTTGCGAAATGAGTGACGAGAGTGAGAGCAACCCGAGACGAAGAGTTACAGGAAGGACAAGTGAACGAAAGCCTGCGCCACTACATATGAAGGTAACGACAGAGTCAGAGTCCAGCTCTCAATGGTGAACGATCGACGTGATCATCATTGAAGCTGGAGAAGACGATAACTCCATTCTTAACCCACATTAGATGACGATCACACGGTTTGCCCTGTCCTCTTCCCATGTACGTACAGACCCATGGCTAGCAGATTTAAAAGCCGTTACGAAAACGGGCCGGTACAGATGTGATGTAACCGCCTGTCCTTAATCTTCGTAGGCGATGTAAGGCCTGATCGTTTACCCTGATCTTATTCGCTCGATGTATGTTCTTCCCACAAACATTTCTAATGGCGCTACTGGGGTATCTTGATCAATTGATAATTGCCGCTGATAAGGCTCCGTCGCGTGGTCGAGGTCAGGGTACATTACTCAAATGCGAGCAGCTGTAAGGAGCGGGAAGGGCCTGAGGCTTCATCCGAGACTCAGAATGTTCGAGCGTCAATGCAGAACGAAAACCTGAAACCTGACGTACCAGATTCGGCAGATCGACATGGCTGGGAACTCATCGTGAAGTGGAGACGATGCGCGAACGCGACCGTGTGCAGGCAAGCGTTTGCCACCTCAGTGGGTGGGGGTGAGGCTGTTCAGAACGCACAAGCGACGTGCAATGTTTCATGCCTTGGGCATTGACGAGACCCATGGCGATGGGCGGTTGAACATGTAGCCGAGATATACCGAGTGCGTAGGGAGATGAGATATAGGTGAGTGATGGAAACCTACTATGAAGCTAGTCGCGCAAAAGAGGTCGCCCACGCTCCTTTAACGCGGGTGCTTTACGAGATCGTGCAGGATGAACGAAACTTGGGAAGCGGCTGGTGGCGAGTTGAGCTAGCGCCTTTCGCGCCAAGCCCCCGTTGTTTTCGAGGCCTGAGGCCTTCTTGCGTCCGCCCCACATACGCGTTGCGACCACGTTCTTCGCCTCGTTGACTCTGCCTTCAAAGCCACACCTTCTTCCTTGACGCATCACTACCACATGCGCTCGATGCCAGAGCAAGCTCGAGAGGGGCTCACCATCGTCTGGGGTGCATGTACATTCATGTCCACAGCGGATTGTGAGTATGCACCAGTGCGCGTGGCCCCTATCTACCGCATAGGTTTCTTAATATCCCCTCCAGTATTGGAAACATTCGACATGACCCCCAGCTGTTGTCCGGATATGCTCGGGAAGGCTCTCGTACACGAAGCTAGCTCAGTGCACATCGCACGACCATGCGCAACGGCAAATCATCCGTCAAGTCTGCGGCCCTGGTACACGACCAAGAAGGAGAACCCACGTCGCCAGATTGGTAGATGTAATGAATACTCATCATACATGAAGGCATAATTACACCTTCTAGGGTTACTGAATGAGCTGACCACTTGGTACCCCGGCCCCTCCATTCATTCAACGCGTCGAGATCGGCCATGACTGCCATGGGCAAATGCGAAGATATTGCAGGCATGACGGTCAAGCCTCTATGGATCATTACACGTTGAGATGCCGATCTCCACAAAACAACTACAACAGGATACATAGTCCGGTCTTTTCGAAACATGAGGAAATTTGCGTTGTTTTCAACGCTTGATAGTCCCACATGCGCGAGAGGTTCTGTCAAGAACTGCGGTAGTCGCCGTGAACGCGTTCATCTAGGCTAATGATCGGTGTTCAGTTTCACATACTGGTTGCTCTGCAGAATCATCCAATACTGGAGGATTGTTGATCCCGCGAGAATGCGATCATGCCTTTCCTGCTTTGGCAGAGAATGTTGGCCTTAGACATGCGAACAGATTTTGTCCATCTCCGCTTCCAAGTGGATGGTTTACCCCTGACAATGCCTTGGTCATGGCATCTACACTCGGCGCTGGTATGAACGTTACTCATCAAAATTCGGCACACACACTGCAGCGTAAATTCATCGGAAATGTACGTATGAAGCGTTCGCTCGTATCCATGCATGTTACAAGTCTACAGGTCGATCAATAATCTCATATTCACTAGCATCGGCTTAGACGACTACTTACTCTCCGAGGCTATGTCTCGAATGAGCCTGCGCACTTTATCGTCGTTCATTCGTTCCACTCCCAACAGTTTGTTGTCATCCAACTGCTCCCAGCGTGGCGCAGGGACTGTCCCTGCAGACCATCGAATCATATCACCAATGGCCTCCATGTCGATCTTTCCCGCCATCATGGCCTCAGTCGCGGCCTTGAGCTTTGAATCAAGGTCTTGGTTCGACTCCTCCCAGCCATCGCTGCCCAGGGTCTCCTTCGCCAGTGCCACCATCTGCTTTTGACTTTTGATCACGCTCGAGATGTAGAAGGAGCGGTTCTCGGTCTGTTCAGCCTTTCTTAGCACGTTGGCGACGGCAGTACTGATTGAAGAAAGCATGGTCCAAGGCAACGGAATCATTCCATCGTTCATGTACTGGACCTTCTTCCTGCGAATATCGATATTGATGAACCCTGTCCGCAGGTTCCAATCAAGGAAAGCTCCATTGGATATGGTAGTGTACGTGATCTTGCCTTTCGCAGCCAGGTCCTTGATGTGCTGGTAAGCCTGATTCTTCCCGTGGTGAAAGAGCGGCGATCTCGCTACGGGGTCCTCAGGGTCAACGCTGAACTCGCCCATCACTATACGATACACTCCCGCGGAGACAGCAGCTTCGATGATTCGTCCCTGGAGGGTCGGATCAGGACCAGATGTCGTATCCACGATAGCATCATTACCGCGAAGGGCTTCGGCAATTGCCGCAGCTGAGTTTGTGTCAACGACCTTGACTGACACGCCAGCAGGGAACTTCTGCCCCTCCTTCCTCGCAATAACGGTAACAGTGAACTTGGTTTCAAGAAGACCCTTCAAGACTTCAGATCCAAGACTGCCGGTCGCCTGTGCCATGTCAGTAGACCATGTTCCCCTCGTGCTCGTAGCTGTGAACTTACACCTGCAATTGCGACATTCGTGATCTTGCTGGACATGACTGGTGTGCTTGGTGTCGATCTTTTGGAGAGTTTGGTTCGATAGTGTGGTGGTGGTGTAGACAATACTATTGTTCTAGTGGCTTGATGATGTCTTTTCTAGTTCTGAGAAGCAGTCTATGGCGATGATTATATACATCATCTCGACATCAAAGACTGCGTGAAGTCAACCAAGCATGCACAGATACTCAGTCATCCTTGATTCGTCCGGATTGCAAAGCATGGCATCAACAGCTTCGCGTTCTCGGTCATAACTCAGTCAGCCTCAATCTAAGAGTGCCACAATAAGTCCGGTACGCTAGTCGTGTGACGGGACGGCAGGTGCCATACTTCCGTTCCGTCGCATCCCTCGCGGCCCCGTCTGGATGACACCTGGAAATCGCCTACGTCATAAGATACAAGCTGCTAAATCAAGGCGCTATCTCGGGCAGAAGACCTAGCGTAGTAGGGCGGGGTTCTGGATAGTCCCCGACATGTCTGTCAGGTAAAAGCCGACTAAAGCAAACTAGGCCTCGGCACAAGCGCCAACATCGGCGAAGAACAATGACAATACAATTTATATCAAGGTGTGGTTTTCCTGTTGCGCGACAGATACGAAACGCTAATGAGAGCTCACTCGTACCAAGAAAGAAATAGCCATCGACCATCAGTCCGGCAACTGATCAAAAGCGACATCACTAACAAACTCCCCGATACGAAAGCAGCGCCCAACTACATCAAACAATGAAGTAAGACTCTCTTTTCCATATTTAGCTGCCATTGCTAACCAGAATAGAGATAATCATGCCTCGAACGGTGAAGCCCCATACTACGACCTAGGCGAATACAGACGAGATGCTAAAACGACATCTCATGAAGCGCAAGCGTGGTTCGCCCGCGGTCTTGTATGGTGCTACTCATTTAACCATGAAGCAGCCATGCAGTGTTTTGAGGCGGCGACTGTACATGATGAGAGTTGCGCATTAGCCCACTGGGGTATTGCTTACGCTATCGGCCCAAACTACAACAAGACATGGCGCATGTTCACACCAGAAGATCGCACAAGGTCCATCGAAAAGATACTGCGCGCCTTGTCGCAAGCCAACAACGTCGCGGCCACTGCCTCGCCTGTAGAGAAAGCACTCATCACGGCCCTCAACGCTCGCTTCCCAGACGGTAACGCAGATGTTCCAGACGACCTATCGCCGTTGAATTATGCCTATGCAAAAGCCATGCGCTCAGTCTACGAAGAGTACAGGGAAGATCTCGACGTGATCGCACTATTCGCCGATGCCGTCATGTGCACTCGTCCGCGTCAGCTCTGGGACCTCAACACCGGGAAGACTACAGGCACAGATGTGGACGAGGCAAGAGCCGCTCTAGAGAGGGGCTTGGCACGTTCTGATGGTCTCAAACACCCAGGTCTGTGTCATCTGTACATCCACATGATGGAGATGTCACCTTTCCCCGAAGTGGCTTTGCCCGCGGCTGACAGTCTGCGACGACTTGTACCCGATGGCTCTCACATGCAACACATGGCCACACACATCGACACAGCCTGTGGCGACTACCGTCGCTCTGTCGATTCGAATTTTGACGCTGTACGTGCGGATGACAAATACTTCGAGAGTGGGGCAAAAGCAGCTCTCATCTACAACGCTTATCGATCGCATAATATCCACGCTATGGCCTACTCTGCCATGATGTCTGGTCGGTCTCGAGATGCTCTCTATGCTGCGACACGGATGTCTGAAGTATTAACTCTGGAGTTCATGTCGATCAAAACGCCACGAATGGTAGACTGGACCGAGTGGCAACTCGTAACGCTGCCTCACGTATTGATTAGATTTGGTCGCTGGGAGGAAATTCTTGAACTCCCGGAGCCAGTAGATCCGGTTCTACTCTGCGTCTACAAAGCGACAATCCATTATGCCAAAGGGGTTGCTTTCGCAGTACTTGGGAGGATCCAGGAGGCACGCCAGGCAAGAGACTCTTTCGAAAAGACCCGTCAGTCCGTACCGGAGGACCGTATGTACAGTCCCTCCTCCCCAGCGGCACCGATCCTAGCTGTAGCGTCGGCCATGCTGGAGGGCGAGTTGGAGTATCGCAAGGGCAACCACTCTCAAGCGTTCTCCATCTTACGACACGGCATTAAATTGGAGGATAATCTTGCCTACGCTGATCCGCCACTCTGGATGCAGCCCGTTCGCCACGCTCTGAGTGCATTACTTCTTGAGCAAGGCCAGTCTGAGGAAGCCGAACTGCTCTATCTAGAAGATTTAGGATACAGTGATAGCCAGCCTCGTCGAAAAGCGCGCATCAACAACGTCTGGGGACTGCATGGTCTTTATGAATGCTTCGTGCGGAATGGAAAGCAAGACAAGGCCAAGACCATACGCCTCCAGCGCGACATCGCTGTGGCCTCCGCTGACGTTTCCATCAAGTCCTCATGTTTCTGTCGACTGTCGGCGTCAAGCAGTAAGTAAAGCTATCGTTCTACCTAGATAGTAGCTTGCCGAATCCGACGAGTAGAACCTTGATGCTTGATTCTGTTCCTTTCGTCACACGATTGATGGCAAGGCGCTGTCAACGTCAAATTCCAATTCTCAATCACTAAGCATGTGTTAAACAAATGCAAATACTGCTCCATGACGTTTGTGATCACGCCATAAGTCTTCATGCATAATCGATGGCACAGGTGAGTAGCACAGGGTAGCATTCCGACAAACTTTCGCCACAGGGATTGAATCTGACACCGCCATCTGTCTACGGCAATCACCTTCCATCCAAGAACTGCAGCTTCTCGGCTATGGAAGTGCGGTTCAACACCTCGTCACGCTGCGGAAAGCGCCCAAACCGACGAAGTGCGTCCAGCTTCCTATCACAGATGCTAGTGATAACACCTTTCAGCTTCCCAAAATCACTCCTTCGTTTGAGAAGCACGACGCGGTGCTGGGCAAAGTCACCGTCCCGTCCCTCGGCATCCCTCTCTAGCAGCCTCTCATAGTTATGGAACGTGTCAAAGTGTGCATTGTGTAGCAATTCTGCTACTCCCAGGCTCTCACAATGTTTAATAGGCATATAAAACCGGAATCTATATGCCAGTCGGAAGCGAACTTCTGGATCCATTGAAGCACCAGATTCAATTGCTTTGGAAGCCACTACCAAAGCCAGGCTGTCGAAAAAGGTGTAGGCTACACGAGCCTGAGCACCCCGGAAGCAGTTTCTTGGCAGTTAGTGAAGCAATATGATCAGACTGATCCAGTGCATAAGCTTGCACGGCTTTGCTGCTGCTACGATGTCCGCTCCATCTGGTTCTAGGACCTTGATGAGTTTGAGCAATGTACCAAACTTATCCCTGGGGCTAAGTAAGCTTTTGTTCGCGGAAGGGTATTCAGAATGAGCTGAGTACTTACATGCATTCCTGGTCGTAAGCGTCGTTCTGTGAGAACAATGACGCCGAGTCCTCGATGCTAGGGCCGATTATGTGGTCGTGGTCTTGGAGATGACGAAACCAGAAGGTTGAGATCTCATCTAGATTAGCATGCGACACATAGCTTTCGAAACATAGCTGCCACATCTCTGCAAGGTGATAGCTGCAAGATCTGTGAAGTAGCTTGGCCGTATGGAGGTGTCCGGGGCGGTAGGGCAATCTAGGTCTTCTTGAGGCAAACACGTACTTTACTCAGTCCAATGACCTATGGCATGATGCGTGATGCCAAGCTGATATGTCAACATAATTCGACTGCATTCGTCCGCTGCTACAAAACTAGTCCGAAGTTACAAGAGTTGATCTTGGCTGCCATCGGTGTTCGCTACTGACTTAACCATATCCCAAGGTTGCGTTCAGATCCAATCGGCCCGTTTGCCGGCACCGCTAAGACGAACATACTTCCGTTCCGTAATGCTAAGTGGGTACGCTGCATTACCGTTTCTGGCGTTGGTCGACATATTTGGTAACAATAGATTGTCGACTACAGGTGTTACCGCTCTAGACTTCGTAAGCTGACTGTCCTAAAGTCGACTTGTTGACTTTCAAACTCTACACTACGACCAGAGACCCCGAGGTTACCACCAGAGGACAAAGGACTACATCACGCGCGGTTCATCAAATGAGCCACGCTCGTCTCATCAGTAATCGCGATCCACTGTGTCTGGTGGGCATTAGTCAAGGCTTGAGCGAACGAGGAGAAAGTTCGTCCGCCTCATCGACGCGAGACGGAGAGTAGCATGAAAGTCTGTTGGAGAAAGTAGCCATGCGTACGGAGTGCTGACTCAGTAGATAGATTGCTACAATGACATCTTTTGTGTCCCCCATAATTATTCTCAATCACTTGCTTGCGCTACCAATCTCATTCAGCTTTCTCGTTCAATCACCCCGAACAAGATGCTAGTAACCCGAGCATTCTCAGCTCTGGTGGTAGGCTTCCTGTCATCTAGCTCGTTGGCTTTACGAACGAGTCAGTCCGAGGTACCTACAGACATTGTACAACGTGGTCTCGCAGCCATTGGCATCAACTCCACCACGTCCGATATGCGCAACGTCAGGATCAGTGGCTCTCAATTCCGCACCAAGTCTATCGTCACAACAATAGCTCTGGATGGTATGGACCAAACAGTTGTCCCATATGGTAGCCAGACGATCACGTATTCGTACGAGACAGGCAATCTGAAGCAGCGCATTGATAAAGCTTCTGGATTAGGGAGTATGTCCTCCCTCTCGATACTGTTTGATGGGAAACTGACTTTGAGATCCTAGCTCTTTGGATGTTTGCCCGACCAGAACTCGACCCTATGGACTACTCCGTAGTGGTACAGGGTGGTGACGATGCGTTCACTGCTGTCGTCAGGGGAAGCTATTCGCTTTTTGACCCAACGGCTACTCCAGAAGGCTACTTAGATGTTACTACGGCCTCTAAGATATTGGTATCAAAGCCTGACGATCAACAGGATATCTCGCGGCATATTTGATCTCTAAGGGTCAAAAGTGGGATCCGTTGCTGCTCAGCAAGATATCTGCAAATGACTCCACCCTCCGTTTCCAGCCGGTGGGAGGAGGCTTATTACTTCCAGCGGGTTGGTCATCACTCATGTTTGTCACAGCCTCTCTTACCCAAGTGTTAGTGTTTGACGAAGCACTGAACATGTCAATCATCTTCAACCCCGACACCTACCTTCCCTTCGCTATCCGCACGTACGAATACCATCCCTTCTACAGCCCTTCGACGAACGACCTCCGAGTGTACGACTATATCTCCGTTAAGAGCCTCATGATACCCCGTCATTACAAGACCATGTACAACAACGAGCGCTTGTGCACCGACTTCCTTGCAGACGACATATCCGTCAACATTGAAGTCGAGCCATCATTCTTCGATATCGTAGCCGAACGCGATGAACTGAGCACTCCCGTTGTCGACCCCGCTCCGACTGCTGAGATCGGCGAGAAGCACTCCAATGATATCTGGTTTGGTCGAAACAACTACACAATCGAGGAGTTCGATGGATCGCAACCGTACGCAGACCTACCCGGAGTTTGGGTCGTTCGACCGCCTGGTATAGCCTCGTATCGTCAGATTCTTCTTGAGACTGACACCTATGTTGCTGTTCTTGATGCTCCGGCTGAGATTGTGGCAGTCTTGCTCGAATGGGTCAGGATCAACATTGGAAAGCCAGTGTCGCAGGCGTGGATAAGTCAGCAATGTCGATACACCTAATTACTACTATGATGAGCTTCGCTAACATTACCTAGCCTACGCATCATCACCATGATCACGCTTTCGGTGTGAAGGGCTACGTCCAGAACGGAGCGGAAGTCGTCTGTCCTAAGACGGCTCAGTCGTACTACGCCGATATTCCCGGCGTCAAGCTCGAGACCTTTGAGTACGTTGTCATCTTTGCCTGCCACCAAGCCAAGTGCTAATTTAATTCAGGCGCGGAGCGCCACACATCATGGAGACCAGCGGTTTCATGGCCACTTCCATACATATTGAAGGTAGTATCCATGCCCAAGATCATAGTGTCGCCGTCATCATGCCTGCTTGTCCCACTGAGGACAGCACAGTCGTTGTGTTTGATGCCGATCATGTCACCTAAGCGCAGCTGATGGCAACACACAACGACCATGACGAAATGAGTCAACTGGTCAACGCTATGGTGAAGCACCGGGTAGCCAAGTCAGTGTTGTAAGTTCCCAAACTACGCTTCCCAAACGCGGTCACTAATTCTTGGTACGCAATCTAGTCCCTGATCATGGTGACTTGGTCAACATGACTGATGTCTATGACGGAATTGGCTACTTGTTTCCCGACTACACATCGTCTGACTTTGAGTACCGCGGCGACAATTGTACCGTTTGATGAGGACAGGGAGGAAGGCTGCGCCGGTTACCTTGCGACGTCGCCTTCTTTGCCTGTGCTATCAGCTGCGCGAGTGTCTGTGCGGTCCAGTGCAGCAATGAAAGGTAATCTCGAGAGAGTGTCGCCTTTGAGCAGACAAGACGATTGTATTGGGTGAGTCTGGGAAATTATCACCGGCAGCTGTAGTCGCGTAGAATACGTGCAATGACGCCTTGGTAACTGGAATCTGTCATGGTGATGATATACGCATGAAGTCGCGAGCGATGGGGGAATGACGTGCCAGGTGCTCGTCCGCTATTCAAACAACTCTTTGAACCATACTTCGTGGCCTATTGCGTGTAGTCCTATGCTGTTATGATATGTCTTGTCTCAATCCTCCAGTCTTGGATCCTTTCTATTCCTCTCGCTCATTCTTTCACTCATATGTGTGATCTCTTCAGCCGCGTTGCTCTCAATCTTCTGAGACCTTTGATCCAACTATAGACAAGTTAGTAAATGACCGCGATGGGACTACTAGGTTACTCACCCAATGGACAGCCGCAGTCACGCCAAAGAAAGCAAAAACGACCACAATCATCGCGATATAACCCTTCTTCCAATACGGTGCATCGCTTGCTGGATAGAGCGCAATTCCCCAGAATGTGTACAATATCGACTGCACCATGCTCATAATGTACAGAGTGACCGACCGAGAAGCGTCATCACCACTGCGCTGAGAGATCACGCTGGCCCATCCATAAAGAATGGGATTGACGATGTATGAGGTACCAGCCAAGTAAAACGCGAAAAACGTTCCAGCGATCGACAGATCGGGTATGAGTAAGAGGATCGCGACCAGAAGCTGCAAGACACCAGCGAGTAAGACCATGGGTATGCGGCGATTGGTGATGTCGATAACGTAGCCCGCTCCGACGTTGGAGACGATAGAAACGGCCTGTATACCTAACGGGTAGGTCGTAGTCGCATATGAGGAAAATTTCTCAGCATTCGCTTTCATCCAGAGCAAAAATAGACCTTGCAAAACGATCGCTTCCAACGCGCAAGCTACCACGGAGTAGAGAGTAAATATGTAAACGTCCGGCTTGGCTAACAGTCTCTTAGCAAGTGATTTTAGACTAATGTCATGGCTCCAATCCTTTTTCGGGGGTAGGCGGTCTATCGCCAGCTGTATCTCCTCTTTGCTGAGATAGGGGGCGTCTGTAGACTCTGGTAAGTTGGGAAAGAACATGAGTCCGAAGATGCCGAACGGAATTCCCATGGCGCCGTCTGGCAGTGGTCAGTGACGACACGCTACTCTACAAGCCTGACTTACTAATGATGAACACCCATTGCCATCCTTGAAGCGAAGTCTGCCCATGCAGACTCTCGTTCATTGCGGTCATCATCACACCAGCGAACATACTACCAATCTGCCCGATAGCCGTGAAGATGGCTGTTCGCTTAGCAATTTCCAAGGGCTTATACCAACTACCAAGGATGTAGATAGTGCCGCTATAGAGACTTGACTCGAAGAAGCCCTGGAAGAATCTAACTACGCATAGCTGGGCGTAAGTTTTGCATGCCGCAGAGCACATCGTTAGGCCGGACCACACCAACAGCGTGAAAGGCAGCCAGAACCGCGGGGCGACTTTCTGAAGCATGAGAGCATGAGGAATTTGACCAACACAGCTGCCCGCAGTAAACATAGTAAGTAGAATGCTGTATTGGTCGCCTTCGAGTCCGAGAGATTCTTTCAGTCCAGACACGTAGGCATTGGCGAATGCGCTGCGATCAAGGTAATTGAAGAAGTATGCAGCGCAGCAATAAATCTGGATTATTGTCAGCTGCCATCATTTATATTCATATCCTCTTCCCACCAGGATAAAGCAATCTGCGGTTGGTTAGATGCGCAATGTTGGGATGTGACGGGTCGTTCCGACGTACCGAGCTTGCGAACCAGTCGCCTTTCGAGATCTACCATGATGTCTAAGCGTGTGTAACCAGACCGATCATGATGAGAGCGAAGCATAGCGATTGCATTCATTTGAACTCATGCAGGGACGACGCGATGTGGAGGTCATCGTGACGGTACCTTGCTGGCCACGAACGAGCCAATCATATTGACGATTTTGCTAAGCATGAGCAAGTTTCCGTTATCGTAAGAGAGGGTCTCGCGGCAGCCAAGTAACAAAATTTTATGGACAGCTTTCCCATCCACGCTTGCCGGAATGAACCCAAGGTTACTAGCTTTGTTGTGGCGCCACTATGGGGCTCGATTTGGCAATGGTTACCTTCACGTGCGCGATGATTAGGCACCACAATCACGACAATGCGCACAGACTCGGCGGCCCGATGTGATGCTACGGCAGAGTCGCGATCACAAAAGCGCACTGAACAACCTTGATCTACATCAGCCCTTCGCATCACCAGCCCGAACCAAAACCAAGCTCCGGTCTGAGTCAAAGGCGCAGTCTCTACGTTGACCACGACCTTGTCTCCAAGATCAACTGGACACTTTTGCTCTACGCCAACAATTCAGGAAGCTACATCACGAAACCACTTTCAACATGGCCACCACTCCGCACATTGTCGCCCCCACGGCGCCCCACACTCACACCATCATCTTCCTCCACGGACGCGGAAGTGACGCCAAGACCTTTTGCTCCGAGATCTTCGAAAGCGAAGACACCTCCGCGCGAAAGTTCACCGACGTCTTTCCTGGTATAAAATGGATATTCCTCAACGCACCAGAATCCTACGCTGAGAGTGAGCGAGAAAGGATACCGCAATGGTTCGACATGGCGTCCGTGCAACGGCCACAAGAAGACGCTGAGTCGCAGAAAGAAGAATTGTGGCAGAGCGTCGCGCAGGTTCTTCAAATACTTGAGAAAGAGGTAAAGCTGGTAGGATTGCACAATGTGATTGTCGCCGGGATAAGTCAGGGGTGTGCTACGGCTGTATTTACTCTGCTGGCTACTGGGATGCGCATGGGAGGCTTCATAGGGCTATGTGGATGGTTGCCTCTGGCAGAAGAGCTATCCAGTATCATGGAGGTGCCTGGCCGAGACCGAAGTGTGTTGGAGATGCCGTTGCTTTTGCAGCATTGCAAAGATGACGACGTTGTACCGGTTGAGAATGGCGAGGAGCTCAGGAAGAAACTTGAAGAGTGGGGTATGGTCGTGGATTGGAAGTGCTTTGAAGATGGTGGGCATTGGCTTAACGAGCCTAGAGGCATCGATGGGTTAGTGGAGTTCATTCAGGCGGTTATGAGGACATCACCTTCCCCTCAACCGGTTGAAGACACAGACACAACAGAGGCGCTTTCATCTACAACGAGTTCGAAAACCAAGAAAGAGGATTTTCAGGGCAACGTAGACTTCTAGGAGGTAAGTGTTTATCGTTTCCCTTTTTGTGGTGCACGGTTATGGGAAAAGTTCATTGCAGATATCGTTCCATATTCATGTGTTGTGGCGTGAATGGAACCCGAAATGAAGATTGCGCTCCCAGACCTTCGCCGTCGGCGTCTTGCCCTTCATCGTGTTCGTCGTCCTGCATCCCCCTTCTACGCATCCAGAGAATCTGTCTACAGCAAAGTCTTCCCACTCCTCAACGCCTCCAAATCACCCATAGTAAACCTCACATACCGATCCGCACCGGGCTTCATCCACATAACCACATCGCCACTGCCACCCACAACCTTAGTGCCGAACTTATCAATCTCCATGCCCTCCGCCCGCAGCGGTGCCTTATTCTGCTTTTGGTTATCCGTATTACTCGCTTCCTTGACCAAGCGCAAGAAGACCGGTACTGCATATCTCGGCAGCTTACTCCTCGAGTACTCCAATAGCGCTTTCCAATCGAAGGTGTCGGGGCTGACCCCATCAGCAAGCCGGAGAGCGACGCAGCCAGCGCGACCATCATGACCAGGGACAAGTGTACCGTATACGATGGCCTCACCCACACCGGGGTATTGACCGAGGACCTCAGCCACCTCAGCTGTAGACACGTTCTCGCTCTTCCATCGGAAGGTGTCGCCTAAGCGGTCAAGGAAGAACCAGCGTCCATCGTCATCCCGTCTGAGCGCATCACCAGATCGGTAGAACAGATCGCCCTTCTTGAACACGTTCCTCTCGAACTTCTTTGCCGTGGCCTTTGGGTTGTTATGGTATCCAGCGAATGCTTCCTCACTTGGTACTGCGACCAAAATCTCGCCACCCTCGTTATACGAATTTCTCTTCACGAACCCGGTCTTGGGGTCTCGGAGTAGCTCTCCAGTTTCCGGATCGATAGGAACAGGTATGTATACGTCGTGAAGAAGTCGTCTGATGATAGCACCGTGCTGTGCTACTGTCGTTGCGGTGAAGGGTCCTTTGCTATGAACCACCATACCCAGAACGCCTTCTGTCGAGTTGAAGAATTCTATTACCTCAGGGACGTTGAAGCGCTCTTTGAACCTGTTCCAGACATCCGGTCGCATGCCGTTACCGTACATGGCGCGTAGCCGGTGGTCCCTCTCCCGTGGATGTGGTGGCGCCATCAGCAGATATCGCGCAGCTTCGCCAACATAAACGAAAAGCGTAGACTGAGAGTCATGGATATCGTCCCAGAATGTACTGACGGAAAACTTCCGTCCTATCGCCACGCTCACTCCACCTGAAAGCGCTGACAGCGCAGATAGACCACCTGTGCCATGGAAAAGCGGCATGCAGCAATACCATCGGTCTCCATCTGGCCCGGCTTTCTGGTCAAAGGCAAGGGTTTGCGGATTTCCTCGTTCGTGGAAACGGTTTACCATGAACTTTCCTCCTTTTGGTAGACCTGTCGTTCCTGATGTGTACAAGAGACATGTCGGATCAGAACCAACAACATTCTCTCTGTACTCATCACCGGGTACTTGAGTGCTGTGCTGCTGGACCTTGTTGATCAGGTCTTGATCGACTCTAAAAGCTGTGACACCCATCTCTTCCACTGTCGTCCTCACACCTTCGAATCGTTCCTGACATCCCTCTTCCTCGTCAACAAGCACAACTTTCACATCCGCGACTTTGAGACAATGCACCAGTCCTTCTCCTTTGAGGTTATAGTTCAGGTGAGCAGGCGCGCAACCGATAGAAAACAGACCAAGCCAGATGACCATAAAGTCTGCGCTGTTCATCATGTAAGTAGCGACCATATCTCCCGGTTTTACACCCTGTGAGAGAAAGAAGTGTCCCCATTGGACGGCGCGGTCGTGGACTTGTTGCCATGTGTACGTTTTCTCCCGCGACCAGATGGCCTGGTTGTTGCTGTAAAGTGGAACGTGAGACGCGAAAGCGTACCAAGGGGATAGCCTCTTAGATTTCTCTATGTTGACTTAGCTCCGGAACTGGGTCTTGGTGTAGGTACAGCTCCGCTGGAAATACATACCGAGTTGCTCATAGTAGCTAGCTGCGTTCTTCTTGAATCTCAGTCCCCTCAGGTCTTGTGCAATGTGGTACTTCGCGTTGACGTATGCTGCTAGCCCGGAAATAGCTGCTACAGATGCAGCAGCCGCTGTTGCATCCATCTTGACTGATCCCGGACCCGGATTCCTCTTTTTCGTAGATGTTGGACGTGGGTGTGAGAGAGGCACTGGGAGTGAAAGGCTTCAATTCAAGGAGGAAACGCAATGGTCCGGCGCGATCGTCTTCCAGAGTTGCCGTTTGTCGGTCCTACTGCTAGCTGAGTTCGGAGCTAATAAGATACCGAGGTCGAGTCAGTTTAGTGGGTCTTGCGAGACGCGTAGTGAGTGCGGGGGTGACCTAGCGCGTCGGACATTTGTACAGCGATTGCTTGTCTTTCGGGGAAAGCTTTGCGAGGCGTGGAGCGACATTTACAGTGTGCTTGCTGCGTAGAAGCTCGTAGCTGAGGTGGCTACAGATTACGGTCAATGTACCAACGATGACCACGATGATATCAGAATAGAACTACCCTTGCATACGGTTGACAGCTAAATTTCCTTCCTTATCTGAAAAACGTATATGCTGACCTATGAGTGTCATTCGTCGCAGCCATACAACGGCGGCTCGAAATCTCTGGATCGCAAAACGCGTCTTCCCAATGTCTTCAACATGAATTTTGCACGACGCGGCTATGGTCCTATTTGACTGCCTTCTTCTCCTTCTTGCCAATGTTCTCCGTGCCCGGTGGCACCTTGAGGCCTCCAAACACCAATGCGCCGACCCCGACCATGCCGGCAGCTCCGGTCGCATATGCCGTTTCGCGGCCCGCCCACCAGTAGAGGGTGCAGAAGATGAGGGGTCCGAGGGAACGTCCGATTTGACCTGATATACGTTAGCAGATGTTCCGATGGAGATGAGAGTCTTGGTTTACCGAAGCTCCGATGGTTCCCCAGCTTGTTGCCTCGCTCATCAGCGTTCGCTTCGAATGACGAGAGACTGTTGAGGCCGGTCACGACCGTCGCGCTTGTTACCGCAAGAAGCGCAGCGGCTCCGTAAAGTGCGCCCTGCGTCTGGACTCTGCCGAGCATGATGAAGGCAATAGTGCAGCTTAGTACTCCCATTTGAACCACCTTGAGAGGGTGCATCCGCCGCACTACGGATCCTTGGAGTAGAGAGGCGACTAGCCCGATGAATCCGAGCAACCGGCCAGAGTCCTTGGCCTGGTAGGAGAAGAGGTCGTATGTCATGAAGGGTAGCGAGAACTCCATGCCGCTGAAGAACAGGATGAAGGTAAAGTGCGTAGCGTTGAGTAGAAAGTGCGAGTTCGTTCGGCCGCGAGGTTTCGGTGCTTCGTTGCCTTTGGCATGCCCGTTCGTGGTGCCGTTCTCAGCCTTGCTCGCTGATGGTAGCGTCTCTGGGAGGCTAATGTAGAGGTAGATGGTCTCCGAGACGATCAAGAACAGAGAGAAGCCAGCTGCCATAGCAAATGGGTTCTTGTCCATGACCTGTAGGGTGGACAGGTATGCGCCCAGCGCCGGCCCGAAGGTGAAGGCGATGCTAAAGCATACGCCCACAAGCGCCATTGTCGAGCCTCTCTGACTGTCGTCGCTGATGTCGGTCGCAATGGCCATTGCAAGCTGCACGTTGCCCTCGCTCAGCCCTCCCACCACACGACTGGCAAGGAAGGTGCGGAAGTCGGTCGCTGCAACCCAGAGCGCAACGCTGAAGATGTTGCCCACCATAGACCACAGAAGAGCTGTGCGCCTGCCATATTTGTCTGAAAGTGTTCCGATAAAGGGGGATGCGACTGCCTGACACAGCGAGAAAAGCGATCCGAGTGCGCCTCCGAGCAAGACTATGTCGTAGCGGGAGTTGATGGGTTTCGCGAACGAGTTCTTGTATGCATTGAGGCCGGCGAGAATCTTGGAGAGGATCGTGTTCGGATTTCCGGTTTCATGGTTACGGTAGAATTCGATGAGTTTGGGGAATAGCGGGAGGATGAATGTAAAGGATATCTGTAAGGGTCAGCCCACGCGAGCGGTTACACGCGACGGGGGATGACGTACCAAGTCTAGCAGCAGCGAGATGAACAGCACCTTCAAGACCCTTTTCCGCAGTGCCGGCGGAACCGGAGTCGTGTCTGAGCCCATGTCGAAGATGTGCGATGGTTGTCCAGCCCAGTCGCAAGAACCCCGAAGCAGCGAATGGAGATGTGGACACAAGTAATCGGCGGCAGCTGTCTGGTTAAAAGCAGCGCAGCGCAGCGCAGCGCAGCGAGCGAATAGAGGGGAAAGGGTCTAGTTCAGCTCGGACTGCAGGCCCTCATCTAATGATAGTCTAGAAATAGAAAAAGGTCGCGAATTGTGGTCATTGGTGGCAAGCGCCGAAGTGTATTCGGGTCATGACGAAGTTTGGCCGTACGCCTGTGGCTCCATTCGTGAAACAGGTGGAACAGGTGGGCACGAACCACATACTTGAAACACCACAAGGAAGTATCTGAGGCAGCCACGGCACCGATGCCCACATGGGCAGAGTCATTGTACTGTCATGCTATGAAAAGGAGATGTGGCTTCTGTGAGCGCACCATGGCTTGAGCAAGTATCGCAGGCGCGGATGCGAAGCTCGAGTAGACAAGCCGAGGCAATGTGGAGCTTCACGTCGATCATCCATCCCCAGCATCACCCGACTAAGCCGATAGCGTAGTTGTAGACGGCGAGCCTTCCGACATTCCAAATGGTCTACCAAAGATACCCGTAACCTTCTACATTGTTCCAGCCTCACGATGGGCAACCCGGAGGCAGATCGGCTAAAGGCAATGGCAGCCGTACAGGCCATGTTCGAGAAGTACAAGCTACTTGCAGCTCGTAGACCAAAGAACCACGTCGTATGGAAACATCAACACCCTTCAAGAAGCTACCATTAATCATGACCAGGACTTTGACCGGGAAGTCATGCTGAATCTGGAGCTTGTGGATGCCACTCTCGATGGCACCGTCACCTACGAGTTCTTCATTGCGCCCAACCTGTCTAACTTGAACAGTATGTAACGGGGTGCTGTTCGATCTACTCACTACCCGTAGCTAAAATGCGGCAGATGTCATGCATGGAGGTGCTGCTGGAGTCATATTCGACATGTCCACGACTACAGCGCTATGTCCCCTTGCTCGGCCTGGCTTCTGGGAATTCATGGGCGGTGTCACGCGCACCCTCAACATTTCCTATCTCAAGGCTGTGCCAATCAACACCAGAGTGCGGCTCAACAGCAGGGTAGTGAGTATCGGAAAGCAAATGGCGATGATCCGAGGCGACATGACCAGTCTGGATGGAAAGATCACATATTGTACCGTGGAGCACCACAAGGTAAACGCGCCCGTGATCAAAGAGCATCTAGATGTAAAGACGGCATGGGATGAGGAATTTGCAAGAGAATGGAAAGCGAAGGGACTAGAAGACGTAAAGAGCAAGATATGATGAACTTGCTTAGGCGAAACGCCGAGACATGAATTTTGTACATTTGCTTTGTAGCATGCTGTGACATGATCAAGAGTCTTTGCTCCATGGTGAATGTCGCCAAGGGTGGTATCAAGTAACGTCCGCCTATCTCCTCTTGTTGAACTTCTTTGATTCTGTAACGGGTCAGTATCGTACATACATCCCGTCTTAGGTGCATGATCCTTACCAGCAGCAGTCCTCTTCTTCTTGGGTGCGCCCTTTCCTCTTGACTTTGCAACATTCAGGTGCTCTAGCCAGTCTTCCTCTTCCTCGTCAATGATCTGGTGTTCGGGGTACAGGCTTCGCAATTGGCTAATGGTGCCTATCCGCGGCGGGTAGTATGAAGCGATGGCAGGACCCTTAAGGCGCTGGTGGAGGATGCGCGATCCTAGACGGATGCGTTCGGGGTTGTATGTGGTGTTGAAGACTTTGCATTGGACCTGCACGTGTTAGTGAGATATACGGAGATGGCCTCAGCAAGACTACGCACCCTCATCAGGTCCAAGACCCTCTGCCGTGGGACCGCCATTGTGCCTGCGATGCGGGTCTGCGGCGTTGCGGCGATATCTGAAATGTCGCGGAGGTGCCCTTGGCGCTCCCGACTAGCGCGACTGAGCCTCTCACCTTTCGAAGGACCAAATCGTCACCAAGCACACACCAAAGGCTTTACCACCATTCTTAGCTATGGCTTCGCAAAAACGTGGCGGAGGCTTCAACCACTATGGCCGAGACCAACAGCAGAAGAGGCATCAGCCTCAGCCTCAGCCTCAGTATCGCAACGGCTCGAATCTCAACTCCTTCCCACCCAAGCCCGAGCTCTCCTCTAAGGACATGCAGACTGGACTGACAGCTCTTTTGGACAGATTCGTCGCAGAAGAGGCGACTGTCGGGGCAGACAAGGATATCCTCCATCACGCGCACGAGCTCCGTCGTCTACTTTGCGCCCGAGACGATTCAGCTTCTGCCAGAGCGAAGCGCGAGCTCGACGAGCAACGGCCTGACAAGGCAGTCAAAGTCGCCGTACCAGATTACGTCGAGCGCAAAGTACGCGCCGCCCAGGACCTGCCTCCCCTACCGCCTATCAAAGAACCCCACCTGCACGAAGCTGTCTTTACTCATCGGTCCGCCATCTTCGACCCTAGTATCCCTGGCTCTACGCTCGGCGGGGACCTCAGTCTAGACTACGAGCGACTAGAACTCCTCGGCGACGCCTACATCGAACTAATTGCCTCCCGCGCCCTCTACAACCGCTTCCCACACGTCGACGTCCCAGACCTCTGCACCTGGCGCGAACGACTAGTCGAGAATTCGGCTTTGAGCAAGTTCTCCAACGCATACGGTTTCCCAGACCGACTGAAGCATCGCTCTCAGTGGGACAAGAACTCCAAGCAATATCAGAAAGTAGTCGCCGACATCGTCGAAGCCTATGTCGCAGCAATCGTGCTGTCCGACCCAGAGAACGGATTCGAGACCGCCGAGACATGGCTGACTGAGCTCTGGGCACCACAACTCCTTGCCTTCAAAGAGAAGATCATCGAGAACCCTCAAGCCAGAGACCAGCTTAACAAGCTTGTTCTCGGCAAAGGCGTCAAGCTCATCACCAAAGAGGAGAAACCCATGACCTACGACTCAAACAGCGTACAATGCTACCACATCGGCATCTACCTCACCGGCTGGGGGTACGAAAACGAATGGCTTGGCAGCGGTGATGGACAGAACAAGGTGCAGGCTGGTGTCGCTGCTGCTGCAGATGCCCTGAAGCGGAACAGCCCCGTGCTGCAGGACGCCATGCGGCAAAAGGACGAGTTGAGAGCAGCGCGCCTGAAGGAACAAGAAGAGAAAGATAAGGCTGCAGGAGGCACTGAGCCGCAGAGTACCCTCAGCACTGAAGCGTCAAATGGTAAAGTGTCAGACGATCAGGATGCTGTGCCAAAGAAGCGGAAAAAGGAAATTGACGATGCATCACATGAGAAGAAGAAGCATAAGAAAGAGAAGAAACACAAGGCTACGGCTGACAGGGGCAGCTCCTAATCGCATCGCGTAGCGAAGACCGCCGACAGACTTACTCTCGGATAGAGTCCTGCTGAGGACAAATGTTCACGTAGCTAATCCGCGATGTCTCCCCATGTAGGCGATGGCCAGGTAGGTAGGTAGGTAGCCATCTAAACGTATCCACCTCGCTCGATACTTTCATCATCATATCAAGTCTCGTCAGTCTGCTCAGCATGATAATGAGCACCCAGAATTCGACAATGACAAGCGCTTATGCCCGCCACACTCTGCTTCTGTCACGAGTAATTCACGCTCAAGATGATGAGCATATTCGCATATCTCTTGTCCAGTATCCCTCTTGGGAAATATGCAACTGCCATTTCAAATCGAGAGTTCCAGGCAATCAGTAGTACAACTCGAATGTCAACATCCAATTCTCAGCACTTACTATACCTAACTCTGATGTAGCGCATTTCGCGCATCCCAATCTTCAGTTCCTGGGAAGTTTTGGTATGCCTGCCCTGAACGCCGTAGATTCCCAATATTTCCCTCTACTTCTTCAGCGCCCTTCCAGCGATGTCCTTGCGGTACTGCATGCCCTCAAAGTGTATGCACTGCACGCCCTTGTAAGCCTTCGCAACAGCTTCTTCTAATGTAGGCGCCGTAGCCGTTGAAGCGATAACGCGACCACCGGCAGTCTTGAGCGTGTTATCCGAGAAAGAGGTTCCGGCGTGGAAGAGCACGACGTCTGTGTCACATTAGCATCATTACAACCTCCATAGATAGACAAAAGAGACTCACCCTCGGGAACAGCATCCAATGTCATGACTGTACCCTTCGCATAACTCCCTGGGTACCCACCCGCAGCCACAACAACCGTCGCCGCACTCTTGTTCGACACTTTGACTTCAACATCCTTCAGTCTTCCCTCCGCACACGCCGCCATAACCTCCGCTAGATCCCCCTCCATAAGCGCCAACAAGCTCTGCGTCTCTGGATCTCCAAATCGGACATTGTATTCGAGCACTTTCGGCCCGTTCTTCGTCATCATCAGCCCCGTGAAGAGCACGCCCTTGAACTCGAAGCCCTCGGCGCGCATACCATCGACGGTGGGTTGAAGGATCTCTCTGTCCACGGTCTCGAGGACGTCTTTTGGCGCAATGCGCGTTGGCGCGTACGTTCCCATACCGCCTGTATTAGGCCCTTGGTCGTTGTCGAAGATACGCTTGTGGTCTTGTGCGGGAGGCAGGGATTTGATCGTGCGGCCGTCGCTGAAAGTCAGGATGGAAAGCTCGTCGCCTTCGAGGAACTCTTCGATGACGACTTCGTCGCCTGCGGTACCAAATTCTCTTGTTAACATGATGTCCTTTAGCGCAGCGTGGGCTTCTTCTTTTGTTTGCGGGATTATTACGCCTTTTCCTGCTGCGAGACCAGATGCTTTGATTACGACGTTGTGGGAGATGGAGTCGAGATACGCTTTTGCGTCGTCGTATTTGCTAAAGTTCTCATAGGCGGCGGTCGGAATGTTGTGGCGCTTCATGAAGTCTTTGCTGAAAGTTTTGCTACCTTCCATGCGCGCAGCGGCTGCGCTGGGCCCGAAGGCTTTGATGCTTGAGAGGCCATTTTCGCGGAAGTAGTCGACAATGCCGGCTACGAGGGGGGCTTCGGGCCCGGGTATTAAGAGGTTGATGTTCTTTTCTTTTGAGAAAGTGACGAGGCCGGCGAAGTCGCTGTCTTTTACAGTGGTTACGTTGGTGACTTTGCTGGAGAGGGTTGCGGTGCCGCCGTTACCGGGGCAGACGTAGATGTGCTCGATCGAGGGTGATTGCAGGAGTTTCCAGGCGATGGCGTGTTCGCGGCCGCCGTTGCCGACTAGGAGAACGCGGAGAGATTCAGACATGGTGTGCGGTATATGTGCAATGGCTTGTTGCATCGTAAGAGTGTTTGCGCCTGTAAATTTTTGGGCGCGCATGCCCCGCCGTGGGGTAGCATGCAGGGATCTGCGGGAGTGAGGTCACTCAGCCCTACCAGGTCCCAGATGTGTCTCGTGTCTTCCACTCATGACACTGGTAGAGATATACTCAGAGGAAAACACATCAGACACCTCAGTTCACGTTTTACTGTCGCGTGGTATGAGTGCTAAAGTATCAGAATCTTCACGGAAGTTAGGCGTGAAGAGGTCATGACCGACGGTTAGATAAAAGCTGGCATTTAGTCGAATGATCTGAACCATTGTGTTATGAATGAATACTTGAAACGGGGTATCAATGTAGTAATAGTGTACATGTGCTGAAACGTGCACTGGAAAGCAAGCTGACCCCCAGGCTATACCACGATGGACCTGCCTTCATACCGTCGTCCACAAGACTGCCGACACCTGCAATTGCACCTGCAGCCTTTCTTTAAAGATCCATACCAGTAATCCTTCAAGCTCGCATCGAGCTGTAGTATCTGGATAGACACAAGGATGTAGATAATCTGCCGATCTTTGCGCTCTTCGTGCGTAGCAAGCCAAAAGAGTATGAAGATGGAAACAGATCTCATCAACATCCAGGCGATGTCGTAGAGGAGGTGGCCAATGATGAATGACTATCCATCATTCTCGCGCCCAATACTGCGCTTGTGTTCTCTGGCTGAATGACTTGCAGCGCTCCTGAGTGGCTGCGGAGTTAATCTGACTTGAGCGTCGAGCTCCGAAGAAGGCACAAGCGTGTCGTCTGACTGCAACTCTGCCGGCGAGAATTCGCGATGACCGAAGAGTTTCCATTGCACAGCACCTGGAGTAAAGTCACATCAGCCAAGGCCATTGTGATTCTGCTTTGCCTTCATGAAGAGCTGACCTAGCACGTCAGGCTGTGCTATGCCAGGGTTCTGCATGTATTGTTGTTGCTGATGCATGCTCGGCATATGTTGGGTGTTGTGGTTGTGTATGCTGAAACCAGCGTCTTGTTCGCGTTGTTGGCCGAAGAGCTCTCGCAGAGACAGTTGGCGGCCCATCGGGGCAGAAGAGGCGGCCTCGGCAGGCTCGTTCGCTTGTACGGCAGGTTCAAGGGCTTCGCGGCTCGCTCTTGCCCTGTCGGCGATGTCCATCATCTTGGCGGCGGTCTCAACACGGCAATTGGCGGTGGAAGCAGGTGGTGGGTCGGCGAAGATCCAGATACCGTAGACGTGCTCGCCCTGGATGATGACATAGGGGTCGGATATCTCCATCTCTTCACTGCTAGTGAGCTCCTGGTAGAAGTTGTCCAGGCCGCGGCGGTTCAGGATGATGGCGCAGTATCGCTCAGCGCCAATGGGCGAGGGAGTCAGCTGGCAAATGAAGAGAGTACCCTCAATGCCCATCTTCTCCCATGACTGCGTCTCGAGGTTGAAGGTATACAGCGCGGCATACGGCGTGACATGCTCTATGGCGACAAGGTCGGCGTACTCGCGACGCAGGACGGAGAAGTTGAGCTCCTCATTTGACCGCGGCGGTGGGAGGGGCACGTCGACAGCAGGCGGCGCATCTGTCTCGTAGTCCGACGGCTGCGGGGGCGGCTGGGTCTGGTTTGCGCGGGCTTTGCGGTGCGGCGCCATGTCTGGATATGGATGTTTGTTGTGGTGGAGGTGGAGGTGGAGGTGGAGGTGGAGGTGAAGGAGAGGGAGTGTGGGCCGGATTGGTGTAGTCAGGCACCGAGCCCTGGAGAGCTCCTGCCCTGCAGCGTGGGATGTCGTGGGGAGCTAAGCACAGCCATGGCCAAAGCCACTGCGCCGGCGTCATGGCACTGCCCGGCTCTTCACCATCGTCATTGCCAGCAACGGACTGTGGCTCAACTGCCTGGTGCCCGCGTACCCACTCAAAGTAATCGCCATGGGGTGAATGCCCTCCTCTTCACGCAGACCCTGCATCCCCTCCCTGCAAACCTTCGCCGCGCACCCGTCCCCCTCCGCCATCCCCCTTCACCCCGCCATGGCGCCCGACGCCTCTTCCGTGCGCTCCACTGAGCGCCTTGATGCGACCATCCCCGGCGCATTCGACCCGCGCACGCCGAGCATAGCATCTATCACCACCCACCAGACGTCCCTCTCGCAAGCTTTGTACGAGCGCCGCGCCGAGTACACGCGACCGCGCAACGTGCGCATCAAAGTCGGCACCTGGAACACGGGCGCACAAAAAGGCACCGAGCAAGATGTCGGCAAGTGGTTCGTCCAGGGCAAGGGCATTGAAGAGTCGCTCGCTGGACTCGGCGTGTCTGACCCTGGCGAGCACGGCAAAGGCAGCAGAGAGAGTATCCCCGCCCAAGAAGCACGACACACCACGTCAGAGCCTACTGTCCCCCACCGCGAAGCAGGAGAGGTCCCGGGCAGAGAAGAGGTCGATATCTACGTGCTAGGCCTCCAAGAGATTGTCGACATCACCTCTGCCGCAGAGGCTCTGAGACCCTTTACTGATCCCTCCACGGCGAACAAATGGAAAGCCTCGCTGGAAGCTGTGCTGCCCAAGGGCTATCAGATGGTATCGGAGCAGCAGCTCATTGGTCTGTGGCTGGTCATCTATGCCTCCCCAGCTGTCCTACCGCAGATCAAGAATGTCAGTACCACAAGCGTGGGCACTGGCTTGATGGGATACATGGGCAACAAGGGTGGTGTCACGACCCGCATAGTTCTGGGAGAAACGACTCGACTTGTCTTCATAAATTCGCATCTGGCGGCTGGTGCAGACAAGTCCTCGTTGGAGAGACGAAATTGGGACGCTGCTCAGATCAACTCCCGCACACGCTTCGATCCTGTAACAGATTCTCTAGGCTCTTCACAGAACGTCGGTGAAGGTCTAGGTGACGAGGACTTTGCCTTTTGGTTTGGCGACCTGAACTATCGTCTCCATGGCATGCCAGGCGACGACGTGCGCCGCCTGCTCACCATACATACAAAAGACTTGGACAAGGAAGAAAATGAAGGTCGGCCTTCGACATCTGACGACTCCGGATATGGCTCCAAGCCTTCATCTGAAGATGCGCCCGACGCCATTCCCATGCCGGCAGAACTTGACCCAGCTTCATTACAAACCACCATCTCATCCCTGCTACCGCACGACGAGTTGCACCAAATGATGAAGAGCGACAAGGCTTTTCATGATGGGTGGGAAGAAGGCCCTATTCGGTTCTTGCCGTCCTACAAGTACGATATCGGCAAAGTTGGCGTCTTCGACTCAAGCGAGAAGCGCCGCTGTCCTAGTTGGTGCGATCGCATCCTTTACCGGACGCGAGCTGCCAAACAGGCCTTCGAAGCCAAACTTAAAGATCGGGAAGCAACGCGTAAGTACCATGAAGAAATGGAGGGGATCGACCTGCCAGGCGACTACGATGTCAACAGTGTCAAGAATGTCTTGTACGCGTACGACGAAGATAACGATGGCGACGACGACTATGATGAGAACGAAGACCCAGAGCCTGAGCCGATCAAGACCAAAGATAATCTTCAGGTAAGTACACGACGATCCACCTAGTTCTTGCCCCTTGAAGGCATTTCAACTGACGATTTTCATTCAGGCTGAGCTACTGCTCGAGTACTATACTACCCACATGCGCGTTCTCAGTTCCGACCACAAACCCTTGGATGCTGTCTTCAAATTACAATATGATGCCGTCATCCCAGAGCTCAAGACTGCCATTCATAGCGAGGTGGCTCGCGAGATAGATCGTCAAGAAAACGAAGGTCGACCGTCAATTGCCGTAGTGGTAGAACGCGCAACCGGCACCTCGCCTGCCGAGAAAGACAAGACAGACAGCGCTTTTGAAGGAGTGGACTTTGGTGACGTCAAATTTGCAAAGTCCACTAGGCGTAACATCACCATCGCAAACACTGGTCGTGTACCAGCTACGTTCGGATTCGCCGATCGTCCGGTGGACAAAGATCAGCCTGCCGGCCCATTTCCGCCATGGCTCTCTGTTACCTTTGACAAAGCCCAAGACAAGCTTGATAAGCCAAGTCCAGACGACATCCATCAATACTTCACGCTCGCGCCTGCCGATGTACTCAATGTTGAACTGAAACTCAAGATTGAGAGTCCAAGTTCAGTTCGCGATCTTAATGAAGGGGATGCCGTGCTTGACGAAATTCTCGTTCTCCGCGTCGAAAACGGACGTGACCACTTTCTCCCAATACGCGCCCACTGGCAACCGTCGGCACTTGCACGGTCCATTGACAAGCTGATCAAGATTCCCGAAGGCGGTATCAGAAAGCTGCAAAACCAGATACCAGCCCGTGGCGAGGTAAAATGGAGCGTGCCTAGGGAAGTATTTCGGCTGACCGAGGCGATAGAAGACTTGACGGAGCGAACTCTGGCCGAATGGGACATGACTAAGAGCGAAGGCGAGAGGGCGCCTTGGCAGGACAACGCAGGGTGGCCTTTTGTTGAGGGTCGAAGTAGTAATGCGCATGATCGAGAAGATGAGCTTGCGGGGATTTACGAGGCGCTGGATTGCGATACCCCGTTTGCCGACGCGTTCTACCCCGAGACGCGCAGCACCGAGCGCGTCGAGATGCTAGCTGAAGCCCTCATCACCTTTCTGTCCAGCCTCACAGACGGTGTGATCACCAAGAGTCTTTGGGAGAAGTTGGAAGAAGCGTTGACCCGTCAGGAGAAGGCCTCGAAAAGTGCATCTTCCCCGTTTCTCACATCTGATGATGAGAAGATGACCATTTTGGAGATACTAGCAACGGCGCCCAATCACAACGCTACGTTCCTCCTCATCCTCTCCTTCCTCCAAAACATCGCGAACCAGATTACTGAGGTGTCCAAACCACGTCCGGAAGATACCAACAAGAGGACAAGCGTGGACATGAGACTTCCGTCTAGCCCACAAGCCAAAGTCAGGAGGAAGACGCTGAGCAGGGTGCCTGAAGTGGCTATCCGACAGCTCATCGTGAGAAACTATGCTGTCGTCTTCGCAGACTGTTTGGTCAAGTGGAAGGATGGAGGTAGAGAGAAGGACAGGGCTGCTAGGAAAGAGAGGATGGTTGGAGTGCTGGAATTGTTCCTCAAGCAGGACTGAACATAGTACTCGGTTGTTGATGAAGGACTAGTCAATAAAGAATATAGTGATACCCGATCAGTACGTAGCAATACCAAGTTCTGGTTACCTGCAATGTTGTCGACATTCTTTGATACAAGTTCAAGTCTTGACACATTTTCGAAGTCGGGTGGTCGATCTCTGTCGGTCAGGACAGTCCCTGGTTCTAGAAGCACTCGACGCACGCTATACCACACGAAGCATAGCGCCACCATGCACGATCCCCGGTTAGAATATTAGCGCATCCGAGATATCAAAAGTCGCGCTTCTTTAAAACGCTCTTCAGCCCCCTCTACAACCTAACAATATCAATCCAGCAACATTTCCGTCACCCAAAATGTCTTCCACAGCCCCCGCCTCGCAAATCCACCTCCGCACCCCCCCGGAGCCAGGAAAAAAACCCGCATCCCGCACCTACCTAATCTACTTCGTGACGGGAAACCCTGGCCTCGTAGAATACTACCGCACCTTCCTAACGCACCTCTACGGTGTACTAAGCCACAACACCGCCTCGGACCGGTCCATAGAATTCCAAGTCTATGGCCGCAGTCTTTCCGGCTTCGAAATGAATAATGCCGAGATCAAGACGATGAAATGGCGGAAACAGCCGCCGTATGGGTTGCAAGACCAAATCAGGCATTCGGAAGATGAGCTTGCGGAGTTGGTGGAGGAAGTGAAAGAGTCGGGTGGAAACGATGTTAGGGTGATTTTGGTGGGGCATAGTGTGGGAAGTTATATCTGTTTGGAGATTATTAGGAGGTTGAGGGCGCATGGGATGGTGGGGGATGACTTTGAGACGAGGGTTGTTGGGGCCGTGGGGCTTTTTCCGACGGTGGTGGATATTGCGAGGAGTGAGAGTGGGATGAAAGCTTCTGTAAGTGTTTCCCAACGTCCATGTGGACGTGATCGAACCCGTTCCAGGGGGCTTGTCTTCATACCACTGCTTTCCAGACATGCTAACAGTGACGTGCAGCCCTTTTTGAAGAACTCAAACTTCGCGACCTTCGCAGCCCTCTTCGTCAACTTCCTAACCATGTTCCTGCCTATTTCCCTCCTCACAACTCTAATCGCAAAATTCATGGACTTCCCCACCGACGCCGCGCAGACAACCGCCGCCTTCGTCAAATCCCCCCACGGCATCCACGAGGCACTCCACATGGCCCGCGACGAGATGTTCCAAATCGACACCGACATCTGGGACGAGGAGGTCTGGGGCGCCGCCGCTTCAGAGCCCGCAACTAAGCATCCGCACCCGCGGCCCATCTTGCGCTTCTTGTTCGCGCGCAAAGACCATTGGGTTGCGGATGCGACGAGGGATGCGCTCATTCATACCCGTGGAAGGTTCAGTCGTGGAGATGGGGTGGAGGAGGTGGAAGGGCAGGGCGAGAATTGGAAACCCGTTATGGAAATTGATGAGAGGGAGGGGTGGCCGCATGGATTCTGTATTCGCCATGGGGTGCCGGTGGCGGAGAAGGTGGCGGGGTATGTTAGGGCGATTGTGGCGCAGGATATGGCGAGGAAGTAGCGACTCTTATTGGTGGGTTTCAAGAAGCATCTCAAAGCATGGGGTATATGTGCAGGGGCAGATCAGGTGTTCGCGAGACCAAAGAAAAACGAAATTTCCATGTTCTAGTAGATCTGACTAAAATCCCATGCAGGATATTTGGGACTCATGGAGATGCTGATGACATCTTGAATATGTTTTTCTTATCAAGACATAGAATTGTGCATGCAGCAATGCGGCACAGCCCCTGTCGTCCTAGGTAGCAATGCGAGGTTGCAAATATCATGCATGAGGTCGGAAGTCATCTTCCCCACTTTCAGCCTGTTCATTCTCAATCTCTTCCCACTCTCCAACCTCATCATTCACACCCTTCGTTCGCTCTTCATTTTCTGAATCGACGTCTCGCTCCGATACCAAAGGTCTCTTCAACGCCCTTTGCCGGCCACGCAAGCGAAGCATTTACAATGACACGCAAACCCCACAAAGCCCGGCCTGCTCAGCCTTACCAATATGAAGAGCTGCCTCATGATGGGTCTTTCCGCTACATCATTCTACACCGAGGCACCGGAAACGACCCTCTCAAATGCAGTCTACAGGCAGCGCCCTTGGGCAAGACAACATTCGAGGCTATATCATATGTCTGGGGCAAAAGCAAAAAGAACAAGAAGATCATCTGCGACGGCCGCGTGATCAGAATCACCAAGAGTCTTTCCAACGTGCTGCGGCGACTTCGACTCCCTCATAAAAGGCGTAAGTTATGGGCTGATGGCATTTGCATCAATCAAGATGATTTAGAAGAGAAGGGGCACCAAGTAGCCATTATGGGGGATATATACCGGTCGGCGAAGTGTGTCTTAATTTACATCGGATCCGAAGACTATGGCGATGGACCACTGGTGTGCTCTTTGCTGGATGACGTCAATCGGATGATCGACGAGACTTGCAAACACATCGATACGTCGCAGGGTGCCTTTCCTTTCGTCCAAGATGATGATACCCTCCGGTCCGACTCTCGCTGGATTTCTCTGCTCAACCTGTTCCGTCAAAGCTGGTTCAGGCGTGGTTGGGTTGTCAGAGAAGCGGCATCTGCGCATTACGGTCTAGTCATCTGGCACAATAGCGAATTCAGCTGGGAAAAGCTGATGCGATTGTACATTTGGTTGTTAATGCGTGGGGGCGGAATATATGGGAAATTCGACTTCTACAAAGGGACTGTGTGGTCCCATGCGCAGGCTTTCAGAGAGAAAGAGAAGGCCATTGTTGAAACTATATGTACGGAGTACGAATGGCCCACGCAGTCTTTGCTATCACAGCTCAGCACTGGAAAAACGCTGCAGTTATCAGACGCTCGCGATAGAGTATACGCTTTCATGGAGCTCTCTGGCAACTTCAAGCGTGTGTTTATTATGAACCCCGACTACCACCTAGCACCTCTAGAGGTGTATCATCAATTCGCAGTAACATATATTCAAGAAACAAACGACATTACCATACTGGATCATGTTTGTCACGATTACGAATGGAACAGGAAAATCGATGACATACCGTTTGTTGACATACCGTCATGGATACCACGCTGGGATGTTCGTAGGTGGTCACTTTCGGCAAAGGGAATTTTACGCTGGCGGCGTGCCAGTGCTCGTGACGGATCCATTCATGAACCCAAAATCATAGATTCTTGTATTCTTTCCGCAAGAGGTGTTATTGTCGATAGCGTTCTTTATGCTTCAGATATCTTCCCTGTAGATGAAGAGGAGATGCAGCAAATATTGGATGATGTGTGGGGCGTTATCTCTCAGACGCTCAACACCTCGCCTTACGGAACTTCTCACATTATAGAGGCCTTCTTAGATTGTCTAAGCCTCGGTAGAAGCGGTGGAAATGCGGAATATTGGCTTCGGTCTAGGGATACATTCATTACACATCGCAAGGCCGCCTGTCATGACGGATTGGCATCCGGCGACACCGCACACGACGATGATGTATCATCTAGTGCTAGGATCGTTTGGAATTACTTCAAGAGCTACATACTAGGAAAACGATTCATCTTTACCAGGCGAGGATACATGGGTCTGGCTCCTGATGTTACCAAGGAAGACGATTCATGCGCAATCATCTTTGGTTGCCGCTTGCCCTGCATCTTGCGACAGACTGGTCGAAAGCAGCAATACAAATATATCGGGTCGACTTGGTTATTGGGCTCACATTCGTACGAGGGTGATGGCGAGCCCATCTTTTGGTATCCACTAGGTCACGACTATAGCAAGGAGTGGGTGAATTGGGACGTCGAAGAACAAGACATCTACCTGGAATGAGGTTGAAGACTCCATTCTACCAGCTTGCAAAACTTTGAGATGCACAAACGCTCGCCTGACCACTACATTGAATGCACGTCTTGAGCGACATATTAACATCATCGGTATCGGCGATGACGAGATCAATCCTCCAGTCCATACGCCTTCCCCTTTCACCCTGTGGTATGTTGTCATCTAAAAGCCTTCTCCGATGAACCAACAATGTGATCCACCATGTCCCGCTCAACGTCGCCACGACACCAAACATTCTCTTCCGCGCTGGCTGAACAACCCAGTCTCGTACCGGGTTGGGCTTCCTGCCGAAAGATTGGATGTATGCAGTACTAGTGATACCCTGCGCCATTATAGCGACAGGATCCGATACACTTTATAGTTCCCACCCTCTCTCCGTATGTGAAGGGAAAAATTATATCGTTTGCGACTCGAAATTCTCGATATACTAACACCTGCTCATGTCGAGCAACCACGGCTGCTCAGTGCAGCCATCCATGCCTTGCTAGCTATGACTCCAGTCCGCGACTGTATGTCTTCTAGTTTTCGCAAACTGTTGTTTGCAACTGTGACTCTTTTAGTGTCGCAAGTCTATCGCTCGTTCCTAGCTGCTCATCCATATCTTCTGCAAGGTTCCGGTGAGTGATACCTCGGTCTCACTCCAGGTGGTGTCCTATGTCGAGATTGATCGTAGTTGCCCTCGTTCCTCCGCGCAAAATGCGCACCCGATTCGCGTCGCCTTTGAGGAATTCCATACTCACTGAGTCGCGCATGAGTTCGTGTTCGTCTCCTACGAAGCGAATCGGAAGAGACATCCTGTAAGGGGTACCGTTCTCTCCGAGGAGGAATATTCCTGGTCTGCCTCGAAGGCGAACGTCCTAAAGTGAATGAACGTAAGTATCTCGATCGACGACTCATGGAAAGGGAAAAAGAAAACAGTGAATGCCAGTGAACTAGGGAATCGTAATTAGCTCAGTAGCTTCATTACATCAAGGATTTCGGTGGGCTATGGGAGTGTGAGTCTGCCAAGGCGCTAGACCCGGGTGGTCTAAATGTGTTTGCGTCGACGATATGGGATTGAGCAAGTTCGTCATCACCGTCTGTCATCTCCGGAGATGTGAAAGAGATCGAAGTTCTCGAGCATGTGTACTGTACTCCCGTCCCAAAACAAGCTCCTTACATCGCGACAGGCATGTGCGTAATTGCTTATTCCAAGTCGACTGACTGTTCATGTATTTAATGAGCCTGCTCAATGCGCTTCGAGAGAAGGGGCATCTTCAAAGTGACCAGCAGAAGGTCTTTTGTCTATCATAAGGCTCTTTTGTCCGCCGAGGGCTTTGCGATAGCGCTTGTCGAAGTTTTGATCGCGCACGTCACCGATTATGGACTGGCTCATACCCGCTGTATACCGACTAGAAGGCTAGACCCTGTGCCTGGACTAGCAGCCACAAGAACATGAGAATGGTGCAAGAGAGACGAAACGTTTCGAAACATGCCGATACCCAGTGCGGAACCAGAATTACTTGGATCGACGTCGACTAACAGCAATGAAGGACTGGTAATCGAAGTAGACGCGCAACGCCGAAAGAAGGCATAAACTGTTACATTGCGACAGTTCGGGGCTTTTCTGTGAGCAGAATGCAGGAACTCCAAGTAGATAATACTCGGGAACATGAATTTGCACAAGATTATATGGTTTAGAGCAGTACATACCAATGGCCATCTATCACGTCTCCAGATCCGAAGCACAGCGTGCGCAATGGAGACAACATGATGATCTATCCCGTAGGCCCAGCAGCCAGCGCGGCACCTTTTCAAAAGCAGTAGATGCTGTGGAGATGGTGGAATAGCGAAGTGAAGAGACGGCATAAGATTCGAGGAGTAAGGAGATCTCACGAAGCTGCAACCGGCGTGTTGATCTCGTAGAAGGGCTGGCTCGTCCTGATCCTTGCACGACGAGCAGGCTTGCGAAGATCGCAAAGACCGCTCCCGACTACTGTCTGCGTCGATAGCACCAATGAAGGAGTGATGTTTGTTGTGCGAAGGATCGCTGCGCCTGGGAGGCCTGAGGTTGAGGACGGAGACAAGGCGAAGTGGGGAGGTTGGACTGTGCGTAATTGGCCAGCTCCCCCAACAATGGCGTTCGCTGTTGAAGATCTCTTCGCTTCAGCCTGCACCCTTTTGTTTCGTTGCTATTCTGATAATTCAGTTCAACCAGTCAAGCCGATGGAAATTTCCTGACGTTTGACCAATCAGGTTATTTCCGCATGTTCGAAGGCTTGTAAACGGCAGCCTCCCGCTGCGCCTGAGCCAGTTCTGTTCGCTTGAACTACGGTGGCTATGTATCAGCCGCAGGCACACGCCAAAGCTTACAGCGGTGATGCGCAAACCACTTGCGAGATCGGCGGAAGCTAATACGGTGCACCGAACGGATGAGGTGAGATCACGGTGTCGCTGAGGGCTTGGTTGTGTTCGAGCACAACCTTGAGGACATGTCTTCAGTTGGCAAATGTCCAGAGTCCTGGCAAGTCATCGAATATCGACCAACATGGGGGGAAACGTAATCTACATGCTCTGTTGCTTGGCACTGTTCGGTGGACAGCTGTGGTATGGCGTCCGGAACAAGACCTGGTCGTTCACGGGTACCGTGTGCGCCGACGTCCTCGGAGAGGCAGTGGGATATATTAGCCGCATAATGCTCAACCTGGACCCTTTCAGCATAAACTTCTTCTTTGTGTAAGTTACCCAGTCCGTGTATGACGTCCATGTCTAACAGGAGTCAGTAATTGCATTGCGCCTACCATGTCACTTGCTCTCCTGACCGCCGGTATCTATCTCTCGTTCGGACGCATCATCGTAGTCATCAGAGCCGATTATCCGAAGTTCAAACGCAAGGCTTACACGTACGTCTTCATCGGCTGCGATCTGCTCGCTCTTGTCCCACAGGCTATTGGTGGTGGCATGGCTGCAACTGCAGGAGACAAGGACAGCTCACGAACGGGAGTCAATATCATGATTGCTGGTCTGATGTCCCAAATCATCATCATGACTCTGTTCCTGGCTCTTTGGGGCGAATTCCCTCTCCGTGTGCGGCATGCGAAGATCTCGAGCAGCTTGTCATGCACCCAGCCACCGCTGTACGACTATCTTAGTTCGACAAAGAACTTCAGCTGTTTCCAGTGGAGTCTTCTTATTGCGACTTTGCTCATCTATGTGCGCTGCATATACTGTGTCGCTGAGCTTTGGACCGCTTTCGGCAGAGATCTGGCTGACCACGAAGCCACATTCATGGTCTTCGTAGGGCCAATGATAGTCCTTGCAGTTGCTGCATTGACAGTGTTTCATCGCGGTTAAATATTCTCAGACCTCTGAACACCTGGTGGTAAGGGCGTTAGGTCAATAGGAAAGCTTACTGATGATAATGCCAGCACAGACCATCTTGATGAGCAAGATTGCAACAGTGCGGCGTACCGGCGTGTCGAACAACCTGGAGATATCGCTTGAAGCGGACCAAATGCTTAGTAGACTATGAGGATATGGTTGTGTCTAGCAGCTGAAGATGGAATGACGGTCATGTCCTGTGGCAGCCCTTGTGGCGTTATAGTAGGACTATATGTATCATCAGTTTCCGTCAAATTCCATACTTTTCTCAACAAATGCACTGTTCATCGAAGTCACTTTTCCTTATACAGTTTCGGTTTAGCGTTTCTCAATCGACTCGGCCCCTGCGCAGATATACCTATTAGATGTATAAGAGCTGGCTGGAGCTTGAGATCCCAGGGGCCGCAGCTGGAAATGCCTGGAACCAAATCGTGGCTGTGTTATCTTGATCCTGTGACAAGTGCATCTAGCGGTCAACCTGGTGAAAGGACTTCGATATCGGTTGTCGTCTCGAGAGCTAGCAGAGGCATCCATGAACCTTAAGCGGATCACACCTGCCTCATAATGATCGACAAGTTCGCGATCGTTGTAAAGGCAGGAAGCGGACAGCCGGGTTGGTATCAAGCCAGCTACGTAAGAACGAGAGGTCGATGCTTGCCGCTCAGACCCACGTGGAGCGGATGCCCCCGACAGGCCGTGCTTCGGCATCCGAGGTTCTGCGCACGTACTTTACGTCGGAGAGCGATTGCCTCGCTCGGGCCCTGAGGAGGATGTCGGTGGTGCGGAGAGCAGTGTGCACCGACGTTGCAGAAGCGGCGCGCCGATGGCATGGTCTTTGGGTGAAATCGCGATAGGAGGGAAACTCAAGCTGGGGATGTGGCTGAGTGATCCTCGCCGTCGTCGCTAAAGTATGCACCTTTCCTCTTTCGGCTGGCTCGCCGGCTTTCACCCTTTCTTTCGAGCTCGCCCTTCCTGTACCTCGCCAACAACAATGACCGAGACTCGCCAACCGTAGCCGTTCCCGGCGAGAGACGATCCAAGTTCATAAACGTTCTTCTCGCTATCGCGAACAATTCCTTGTCGACATGCGCCGTGCCATGTGCTCCATGCGTGTCCAAGCGCTGTGCCGCACGTCTGCGTTGAATAGCCCCATCCTTCCAGCCTTACGGGTACTACGCCCAGGTGGTGGCGCGCCTTCTCCTGTCAGCGTTTGGTAAACTGGAAGTCGACATGTTGTTTCATGACCACATCCGTTCCATCTCGCCAAATCCGCGCTAGCTAACGTTGTGGTGACCTAAATCGGGTACTTACACGGCCTCATCTGCAGCCCAGCCTGCACGAAGTCAGCCTCTTGATGTGCATTTTCATCATGGCGAGCAAGGCGGAGCCTCACCTGCGTGCACCGTATGCTTGCAGAGTTTCAGACGCGATGCTGGACAAGGTACCGTGCCTCTGGCGCTTCTGTCTCTTGTTTATGCTTCATCTCCCCTTGTCCATTTACTTCAGTGTAGGCCCATTGTTCAGTACATATTATCTCTCTGGGCCAACAGCGATATAACAATACTCGGTGGAGCCCAGCCCGCAACACCCGTCTGGTACGGTTATAATTATCTTTCCGTAGTCCCGGCACATACATTCAACACATACTACGTACTGTTACCGACGCGATCGACCGTGCAGCGCATCACTATGGACGCAGACAGACGACTCGCCAAAGCTCTCGAGGCCGTCAACGACGCTCTCCAACATCTTTCAATAACAGCCGACTTAGCAAGTTTAGACTGCACACATATCGACCGACTTCTTGGGCGAGTAGTCGATCTACCAACCGAGGGAAATCAAAGGAACAGCAGGCGAAACTTGCTTGTCATCCGACAGTGGATGATTAGTGAAGGCCCCGGCGTCGTGCTTCTCGAAGTCCTGGGTCAGTTATATTGGCGGTTGGGCGAGCTCAATAGCAACCAGTTCGAAAAGTTCAAAGCGGCACTTCAGCAACGACAGCCATACGTAACTTTGCTGAAAGATGCGAACGCAGTAGCGCTGGTGATTCAGCGCATTCGATACATTCAGAGATCAAAGGCGGACGCTTGTCAAGACTTTCTGTCTGAGTTGTCGGATCTTATCGGCGCTAAAGGTATGCGTTTCACCGTGGGAGTACCAAAAGTAGCTTGCTAATTTGAGCAGTCGATTCACCAATGCTAACTGTAGAAGCTTTACAGATATGCTCACGTAGTCCGACGCGATCTGTCCATTCTCGTGACAGCATATCTTCACAGGAGACGGGACCCGCAAGTCTCATCAAGTATTTTCCACCAAGCATGGTCCCCGCTGCTGGAGACATGGAAAACTTCCTCATCGACTTCTATGTCAGGGGTATCTGCCCGGGTCGCACCGTTGCATCGCAGACGAATGTGTATACGTTGTTATTAGAGGTTGCGGATACTTGCTTGAGCACACGCTTCGCCATCCTCAGTCTCTCAGCATCATACCTCTGCGAACAGATGCCGAAAGATAAGGATACCTATCACCAAGCGGAACTGTATTACTCTACGCAAGCATTTCAAGCTCTAGCATCACAAATTAACGATAGGCATCACTATGACGGTGCCCTGGCTACTAGCATGTTACTGATGCATCACGGCTTGATAAACCAAGATGACTCTCATCTATGCTGGTCTTGCCACGCCAACGTACTCGATGCAATTCCGCCAGAAGTCATCAACCATCACTCTGACCCCATCATGTTCCTGCACGCTCAGCTCATCTTAGCATGCACGGCACAAACCTCTCGTCAATTGAGCAACACGCGGCAACATGCATTCGAGACGACAAGCTGGTTAGACGGCATGTCGCCAAGCGAGTCTTCGAAGATTTCGACGACCCTTGGGGTCTCGCCTCAGCTACTATTCTTCGTATCGTCCACAACTTCACTTCCGACGGGACCTTACAGAATGAACAAACTCATGTACGCACAAGCACAAGAGCAACAACTTCAAGAACTAAAGCAGTGGAGTTCAGAGCCAGATGGGCCGGAGAAAGAAATTCTCCTCGCTACAGCAGAGGCTTTCCGCCTCGCCGCGCTCATCTACTTGCGCTGTCGCGTCTACGGGTAAGCATTCTATATAGTCTAAAGCTTTCACATCTTAACATGTCTTCAGGTTCACAAGATTTCACTACTCCATCCTCGAGCTCTCCGACGCACTCCATACTCTCCTCCTTTCGCTACCGGTGAAAGGCCCACTATATACCGCCATCTACCCCGTCTGGCCCTTCTTCGTTGCTGCAGTCACTGCAAACTCAGACAAACGCGACCGCCTATACCAGCGTGTCGTACCAATACGAGAGGGCGACAAGAACACACTCCCACCCGTGCTCAGGCGTATCAGCGGTATGCGCACCTGGCTTGCAAACCAGGACACGGCATGCCAGCGCGACGACGGCTGGTGGGACGAAATGCTTAATCCCAGTTCTAGCACCATGGCATTGAGCCCGCATCTGCTGTGCTTGGGTTGAGTAGCTGCCACACCTGCCACGATTAGTCCGTCGCACTTTTCAAGACCCTAAAGCTACCTTTTCTTCCATTTTAAATATCGCTGTCAAGATCTCATCTCTTTCTGATCTCTTACCTTAAATATCCTAATCGGGTGCATCTTAGCGAGTCATCATCGTCCTGTCATTTTGGCACATCTTAAGCATTTCTGGGAATAAAGCATTATCCATCACTTAACGTCGATCCATTCCATAACGTCTACATCTCAATATTAAAAAGTATTCCACGGGAGCAATTTCTTCCCTTTTAGAAAGCGTACAATTTTCTACCTCCGTTTGCTCACACAGCGCTCCTTAGACCAAACCAGTACCATGAGTTTTAGCTGCGCGGATGCAGCAACACATCCATATCAGGAGAAGATAGACGCGACCAAACGCAGTCGTAGTCCCGAACTGCAATTCTGCTCGCCTTGTCTTGACTGATGTGGAAATAGAGAGCCACCCTGGATATGCACTACCGATTGTTAGATGTTCCCAAGTCTGTTGTAGCCTGCAAGAGCAGTTTGCTTTCGCTATTGAGGGATACAAGGCGGAGGCGTTGATGAAATGGGATCAGGTGTGGTGTTCATGGCACCTGACAAATGGTCAGCCATGTTGCAACATTGGTGGCTAGTTAAGCATAAAAGAGGAAGAGCTCGCATTGGACTTTTGTGATATTGCCGTTTGGTCTATCGGTATCCACATGTACTCCCAGAAGATTTCATTACGAAGAACCTTAAAATATTGCGCCTGGATGCTTAAGATTGCCAGATCGTGTGATATCGCTACGCTGTGGAACATTGAAAAAGACGAACATGACAAGTTACCTGGCGCGCACGCATATCGGGCCCGAAGGGAAAGATTTAGCACTGTAGTTGAGCAATGGACCTCATCCCTCCATATTCCATAATCTTTGAGCACCGTTTGTAGACTTTGGAGGCAGATCTATCGCTCGTAGGGTGCTTGATTTGGCGCTCTGAGAGAACAGACGAGAAGGCGAATAGCGGACGGAGTAGTTACATGGGATGTATAAAGGCAAATTCCGTAGCGACCAAAGAGGGTACAGATGACCAAGCTGATATTGCCCAAGCGAATGACGCCTTCCTAGGTTTCGTGGTATGTCGTTGATCGTTCGGTAAGGACGGAAGCCGAGAAGCCTGGGTATAGCTGGGAAAATGTACATGGAAAGGGTATCGAAGTCCAGAAGCATGAAACAGCTCGCCATTACTCTTGTGGCCTCAACTGGAAGAAGTCTTTATGTTGTAGTGGCATGCCCAGTAGGGGTTTAGTGGCCGCCGTTCTTCCTGAAGTTGAGCAACTGAGATAAGCTCGCCAGGCTGCATCCGCTCTTGAGGAAGTCGTGGCTTATCAACTCTCCGGCACTTGCTCGTGACTTTACGTCGACGCAGAGGCAGACCGACAAGAAGGCCTTGAGCTCCTTCGAGAGCTTGTCTGGCTTCTTGAGACGAGGAGTGCCATTGGTGGCAATGAGATACAAAGCCTTGAGCGGTTCCTCATTCAGGTAAGGTGGTTCAGACTCGATCATCTCAATGGCCATGATACCCAAAGACCAGATATCGACCTTGTTGCCATACTCTTTTTGCTTGACGACTTCAGGGGCCATCCAGTATGGAGTTCCGACCATAGTTGCACGCTTGCTGCGCTGCTCAGTAAGTTTCGCACTAAAACCAAAGTCGGCTGTCGAAGGTTAGCAAGCTGACGATAGAGGATACGTGGCGGATACATACTAATCTTGACATTGCCACGGCCATCGAGCAAGACATTGTCACTCTTGATGTCTCGGTGGATGATGTTCAAGTTATGAAGGTACTCAAGTCCCTTGCAGGTCTGATGATTGTCAGTGTAGATTCCCGAAAGTCCATGCTACGTAGCTTACCTCAAAGCAAATCGTCGCGATCTGGTCTTCGCTAATGGAAGGGTTGTTGTCAATGATGTCGGTCAAAGCACCTCCCTCCATGAACTCCATGACGACCCAAAGCTCGGACTGCTCCTCTTGCAAGAACGCGTCCAAGAAGTTGACGATGTTGGGGTGTTTGCTGTCCTTCATGACGATAATCTCGTTTACGATAAGTTCTTTGCGTGGCTGGTTGCGGAGATCCATCTGCTTGATAGCGACCTGTGCACGTGGGCCATTTTCTTGCATAACCCTTCGGGCCATGGGCGAAGTGGCACCTTCACGGATGCGAGCAACATACACGGAACCACTAGCACCTTGACCAATCTTCTTTTGCTTGTTGTACGAGTCCAGTGGCCGTTCTTTGGATACGACCTCCCGGAGCTTCGCCATGACCTCGCTTTCGGACATGCTGGACATCCGCACATCCTTCCGTGCTGGCTCCTCCTTGGGCTTAGCAGTAAGGGCCTGCTCGGCCTTCTTCACTGCATCACTGACAGGAGCATTCTGAGGCTTAGCAACGTTCAACGGCTTGGGTGCAGCACCTGGCTGGTATTGCTTTTGCTGTTGGTTTTGACCATTGGCGACCCTGGGAACCTGGCCACTCGAATTCTTCGAGGCCATGGGCGGTCGCTGCTGAGTTGACTGCGCTTTGGAAGGAGATGTGCTGTAGCCACCATTCTGTTGCTGAGGTGCTGGAGGTGCTGGACGCTGGGCGACTGGCTGCCGCGGGGGCTGCTGCTGTGGGCCTTTTGCACCGGGAGTCGATGGCGCAGGGCGGCTGGGGTTATACCTCTGGCCTGACGGGCTCGAATCTCGCCCATAGCCGCCTCCGCCAATTTCTTGTTGTGCCATTGGAGGAACCTTTGTTGGAAGGTCCGCCTCCCAATCAGCTTCAGCCTGCAGCCTTTGTTGGCGCTCGTACTCCTGCCTCTGCTTCTGGATATCGCGTTCGCGCTGTGCCCTGATCTGGTCCTCTTGCCTCCTCTTATCCTGTTCGTAGCGATCTTGTTCGTAGCGGTTTTGTTGCTGCGAAGCAGAGTTTTGTTGACCGCCATAGCCTTGACTGTAGCTGTCTTTTCGCTGATAATTGCCAGGCGGTGCAGGGCGCGGAGGCGCAACAGAATTGCCACTGCCACCGTATCCAAGCTGCTTCTCCATTCCAGCATTTGTTGGCGGGGTCGGAGTAAGACTCGGGTATTGCTGAGGGTCCTCGGAGCGCTTGACAAGCTTTTCGGTGTAGAACTCCAAAACTTCCAAAACAGCCTTGGGGTTTTTCGCATAGTCGTCTTTAGTTAGAGCGGATGCGGTGAGAAGCTTCTCCCATTCTACCGGCAAACCGACGAATGCTCCACTATTAGGGTCGAAGCCTACGTGCACTCTGTGGGTGAAGTTGGTGGGGTTGCTGACACCGCCCATGCTGGGACAGCGCTGGTAGATGCTGTCGATCCACGAGTAGACGTCATCGTCAGTCTCGACCTTACAAGTAATGATCTTGGTAGGGCCATCGCGGGGCGGGGACGAGCCCTTGCTGGTGTTGAGGGCGCGGGTAATTTCAAAGGATAAAGGCTGCGTGTCGGATCGCTCTACGCCGAGGATATCTCGCAGTTGGATCGTGTTTGATACTTTGGAGGCATTAGGGCTCTTGAAAAAGTTCAGCTCGAATTCGCGCAGTACCAGCCAGCGGTCGGCCCAGACAAAAGATTTGAACAAGCCATCATCCTTGACCTTTACCATGCCCTCTTTGACTGTGGCCGTCGTCGAGACGCTTCTCTCGGACTGTGTGCGTATAAGCGACATTTGCGAGCCATTATTGAATGCAGGCGACTGCATACTCAGGCCGGCCATGTTGCCCGGCAGGGTGTTGCTGGTGTTGGGTGTAAGGGCAAGGCGGGGGCGGTCGGTGGGCGGTCGCGGTGCTGGACCGGGGTTCATGAATTGTTCGCGGGAGTACATGCTGAAGCACTGTGGTCAGCGGCTGGTCTTGCGAGTGGCAGTCTGATTGAAACGGGGCAGGTGACGCTGCTGCCGTTTGGGGTTGAAAGACGGTGTTTGGAGCAGCCAGATGACAGCCAAGGAAGGAGCGCCAGGGGACTCACATGGGCAGACTATTGTTCTAGCAACAACAGTCGAATTATACAATAGCTACAATAGCTTCGTAAGTCGTTCACTGCCTCTGGTGCGGCCAGGCAGTCGAGGGGTGAGTGTGGTGAATAGCGGGGGACTCGTGCTCAATGGAGTGAGCAAGCAAGTGGCGGGGCGACGTTGAGCGAAGATTCAGTCAACTCTCACTGAGACAGAGGGCGCTGGGGTGGTGTCGAGGACGCAGCGTCCGGGATGGGGGTCGCGTCGAGTAAGCAGCAATGCGAGGGTCGGGCTGCAGCAGAGCGGGATACCAGTCCTGATCCTGAAAGCGAGCGGGCGCTGCTGCCAATCCAAATCGCAAGGCGTCGCACCGAGTCGTCTTCAGCGAGGATGCCACATTCGAGAACTGCAGAAGCAGGGTAAATAGGAGAAGCTGGCAGGCTGCGGGCGAGAGCGCAGTCGTGTCTGGTACACACAGTCGTGGTAGGGCCTGGAGTGGAACCCTTTCTCCTGGCACCATTGGCTTTGGGCACTGGCGCGCTAGCATCCGGCACGGAACTTTCTCTCACGTGCGCTCGACTCCTCTTCGGACGTCGAGCCTGAAAGGAACGCGATGTGCACTCATTGGCTGTTGCCACTCGAGAAGCGGATGACTACCAGCGGCATGAGTCTACTAAAGACGTTTCATCAGCGGACAGGCGCGACAACGGCAGAGGGTCCGGCTTGATCGCCCGGCGGTTGTAAGTACACCATCTCGTTCAGCGTTTCAGAATAAGGCAAATTGACGTCTGAAACCCTTCTGGCTGGCCGCCAAAACCTTCCACAGCCTCCACCTGTGCATATTTAGAAACCGTGCCGCTCGCTACGTCGGTGGCTGCTTTGCTGCTTGTGCAAAAGAAGGGTACTCTACCAAACTATGGGAATGCACGTTGTGTCAAATGTCATTGATGTTCGTCTAGGTTCTTACAGTTCGCACTATGCATCCATTGCAGCTGCGCACATGGTCGCCATATATATATATTGGAAGGTATCGCGACGGCAACCACTATATATCATGTCCTATTGTTTCACGTCCCACGGCGCTCGATACACCGAGTACAAATCAGCATGTTTCAACCATCTGTGGGATGATGCCCGCCTCCGACCCCACCATTACAGCCGCTATCCCTGTCCCGACA